TGGAGTTGCAGAAAAATGCACATTATTTTACCCTACTTCTCCAAAGAATAACTCACTCTGCTAATATACTTTTCCAGATATATTACAGAATAAACTGTGCCTTTCTATAACTAATTATGACCCTCTATTCAATATTTAGGCCTAGTTCTCAAATGTTAAGCTAAATTAACTATAAGACTATTGTCATTGTTTTTTTTTTATTTGAAGAAACAGGCTCTTACTCTATCACCCATGCTGGAATGCAGTGGTGCAATGCCAGCTCACTGCAACATTAACCTCCCAGGATCAAGCCATCTTCCCGTCCCAGCCTCCCAAGCAGTTAGGACTATAGGCATGTGCCACCACACTGAGCTAGTTTTTTTTTCTTAGTTTTTGTAGAGATAGAGTCTTGCTATGTTGCCTAGGCTGTCTCAAACTCCTGGGCTCAAGCAATCCTCCCACCTGGGCCTCCCAAAGTGTTTGGAATGCAGGTATGAGCCACAGCCAACTACTGTTATTCTAATATGAAGGAATAATATGCAAGATTCAGAGCTGTTTGAGAATTTGCAAAACTGTTCAAATTCTGTGAGCATTTATTTGGTCATGCAGTTATCCACTCACTTAACATATTCATTGAGCATCTATGACGTAGAACTATGCAGAGGAGCCAGTCGCTGTTTAGGGAGTGAGAAATACAGTGACAAACAAGATAAAGTCATTAACCACAATGAATTCAACTCAAATGGGAAATACAGAAACTACGCAGAAAGACAGGGAAGGTCCCTCTAAGAAGGTGACATTTTTATTAGAGACCTAAACGATGGTAGAAAGTGAGCCATGCAAATATCTGAAGGAGAGGACAAGAGAAATAACATTAGAAAAAGAGGGAACAAACAGCAAAGTCCTTGAATGGGAAAAAGGACTAGTATGTCTGAGGAATAGCAAGGTCAATGCTGTTAGAGGTACAAAGTAATTAAAGATGAGGACAGAGAGAGGGATACAATATATATCCTTGAAGGTCATGACAAGGAGTTTGTATATTGTTCTGAATGTGAGAAGAAACCACTGATTTTTTTAGCAGATTAATCCAGCAGCAAGAGAAATGAGAGTACAGGGGCAGAGTGGAGGAAGACAGACCAGTTAGGAGGCTACTGCAGAAGACAGTGATTTGAACTAGAGTAGTGGTGCATAGTGGTGTAGAGGTGATATATTTTGGTATCTGGGAGTTATCAGCATATAGATGGTCTTTTAAATTGTGAAACTGAGATAATCGCCGAAGAAATGAGTGAACATAGAGGAACGAAGGTCTAAGGGCTGAGCCCTGGAAGACTCCAATATTTAGCAATTTAGAAGAGAAAAAACTAGAAAAGGGAAAGTATCTTCATTTTATCAGCATACCTAAAGTACGTTTTGCATTCAGACTTATCAGGTTTCTTTTTCTAAGCACTAGAGGAAACCAAGTAGTTCAGACTCTGTTTCTATGTGGTCATACTTTTGAAAATAAAAATATGAGAAATAGGATAGACAGAAAAGATTTCTATTTAAATGAGGCAAAACCTCTAAATAAATTAATATGCCATCAAACCTTGTTGATTCAACTTAAAGCAAATCATTTCTAAAAATAAATTATTTCACCAAATTTGGAGTCTTCAATAAAAGAAGGCCTATAAAACTAGAACCTGAAAAATGCACAAATATTATACACATAGTTTTAATGTAACATATGACTGCCATTTGTTTTATTACCTGATACTGCTGACATGTTAGGAACCTACAATCGAGAAGAATAAAAGCAACCAGAAAGTAAAACTGACTTATGGGAAAGAACTGAGAAAACAATAAAAATATCTATAATGAGGAAATTAAAATTTTAATTCACTTCTGTTCAGCGGTTTCATCTAAAGTAGGGCAAGTAACTAAATCAGACAATGTCAACATTAAAGAAACAAATTTTGTGTTTTAAAAGAAAAATAGTAATGTATAATATTTCTTTTCCTTTTATTGATTGACTGAGACAGGGGCTTGCTCTGTCACTCAGGCTGGAGTGCAGTGGTGCAATCACAGCTCACTGCAACCTTGACTTCCCAGGATCAAGCAATCTTCCTACCTCAGCCTCCTCAGTAGCTGGAATTACATACAGGTAGACACTACCATGCCCAGCTAAGTTCTGTATTTTTTGTAGATACAGGGTGTTGCCGTGTTGCCCAGACTGGTCTTGAACTCCTGAGCTCAAGCAATCCACCCCCCTCAGCCTCTCAAAGTGTTGGGATTATAGGCATGAGCCACTGAGGCCAGCCAACATACATTAAAAAAAAAATTAATTACATGTCTCTTTTCAAAGCCTGTCATTTTCAATCTTTTTAGATTTTACTCATTCTAGATATTTTAGGCTTTTAATTAAGAGGAAAGGATACTGAGGCAGGAAGACCTGAGTTCAAATTTAAATTCTGGCACTAACAATTATTGCTGATTTTTGGGCCAGTTACTTTATATTCAGAACCTTAGCATCTTGATGTGAAAGATAGGAATAATATCTATTCCACTGCATTAAGCAGGATTAAAAGAGATTAAGTATGCAGAACAACTAGGCAAATATTTACAGCTTTATAAATGTTAATTCTTTTCCTTTATTCTATCCCCTTTCTCTTCACTGTTTCAGCATCTAAAGCACTTACATGTTTACTAAAGTCATCTTTTGAATGCTTTTCAAAGAAAAGGGCAGACTCTTACCTTAAAGTAGCAATAATATAATCCTACCAGTTTTCATCAGTGGCTTTTGAAATTGTATAATATTTTATCCTACTGGACTATAAGGCTCTTCACGGGAAGGACTGTCATTCTTTGAAACCATATTGCCTAGTAGACCAGTAATACTTATAATATGGAGTATGGATTATACAACATTAAAAGGTATTAAGCATACTTTACATTTAAAAAAAAAAAAATAGGACAAGCACTTTGGAAGGCCGAGGCGGGCAGATTGCCTGAGGTCAGGAGTTCAAGACAAGCCTGGCCAATATGGTGAAACCCTATCTCTACTAAGAATACAAGAATTAGCCATGTGTGATGGCACACACCTGTAATCCCAGCTACTCAGGAGGCTGACGCATGAGAATCACTTGAACCCAGGAGGCGGTGGTTGCAGTGAGCTCAGATCGCACCACTGCACTCCAGCCTGGGTGATAAAATGAGACTCTGTATCCAAAAAAAAAAAGACAAGAAGCTATTTGCATTATTTTCTTTGTGATCAATAATTGAACATGATCTTATAAATTAACATTTTCTAACTATCTGTTATATTAACTTTTATTTCTGTGAATTGATTCCTATAATGAACTATTACTATAGCTCTCACAAATGAAATCCAGGTTTCAAACAGATTTGCACTAGAGTTGTTTAATTCTATTATTTCAAATTTGTGCATATTTCCTTTTTTCTGTAATGACAGCTTTATGAATATTTTATTTCAAGTATGTTTACACAGACTCTGTTAGAGCCTACCAAGAAGCTCTCAGCGTCTGGGGTATGTCTGAATAAGTAAAATCAGCAGTTCTGCCATATTACATTTTCTACATCTTACGAATAAACACTATTGGAGGGACTTGAATTTCCTTATTCCCTAAAGAAGCAAAGTCACTGGCCAAGGAAAAAACTTTTGATTTGGTTTTCTTCTGCAGTGTTGCAGTCATTTTGTCATTTCTGACGTCTAGAGAATTTCTGACAGTGTATAAAGCTTGTGTAAACTGAGAACATCATCCCACAATTAAGGAAACAACTCATCTAATAACCAATTACCTAAAGACAATTAAGCCTCTATTTCCTTGTTACATATATAATTCAACTGCTCTCACTCTCTTGCAGAATCACTTCTCCACTATATTTACCATTATAAACACAGAACCCACATTTCCTGACTTTAAAAGAGAAAGTACACTGTTGGCTGTTGACACATACCAAAGGGCAAATTTGTTGGCTACAGAGGGAAAATTTTAAGTTCTCTTCAAACAAACCTGTCTCTATTAAAAACACAAAAATTAGCCAGGGGTGGTGGTACGCACCTGTAGTCCCAGCTACTTGGAAGGCTGAGACAAGAGAATCGCTTGAACCAGGGAGACAGAGGTTGCAGTGAGCCAAGATTGTGCCACTGCACTCCAGCCTGGGCGACACAGCGAGACTCTGTCTCAAAAAAAAAAAAGGATATAAGGAGTCCAGAGTAATTGGATTTTTAAGTTAGCCAGTTATTTATTCTCCTTGTGCCTCCTAAAAACTATTTAAAAATCTACACATTTCTATTTTCCTGGGTATCAAATTATATTGAGGGATATATTAACAACAAATTTCTATTCTACAGAACAAGCGGATAACCTTAAAAATTACCACTTTAATGACAGAATGGCCATTGTTTAAGTTTTAAAGGGTTGCTTCATTATTTTCATGAGCCTGCTAGTAACAAAGATAGACATATCATAATAATTTTTATTGGTGATATGATAAATTCTGACAACACTTAGCAAAATGATCACCAAGTAATAACAAAACAGCATTAAAGCCTTGAAAAAAGATTTTTCTCATATCCTGTCTTGATTAATTTGCTGAGCTTTGGGTGGGCAAAACAAACAGCTCTTCAATATATTGTATAACTGATGACCAGCTACATTCCAACAGTGGCTGAAAAACATTTATGTAGGTTTTCTTCCCTCTCATCCTTTAAAAACGTTTGCTGTAAGGGTCAAGTACCTCCCAGGCAAGCTGGGCTATTCTCTGATGACATGAGGTGCCTGAGACCTCAGAAAACTGGCTGGGCTCCATCTCTAGGCAGGCTTGTCAAAGTCAGCTTCTGGTGGCTACTACTACAACCTAACTACCTACCTCAATAACAGCTATTTCAAAAACATAAAAACTTTAAAGAAATCTCAAGTATTCTCAAATTATTCATATCATGACTTTCCCCAGCATTTTACTGAAACGAATATTTTTTTTTAAGTAAGAATATTAGAAATTCTACTCCCAAAAAAGAATACCTCCATGGTGATGTGACAGGCTTCCTCCATTAGCAAGGATTTCTTCTCTAGCAGCTGCCTGTATTTGGAAACAACACAATAAATTGTTTCTACTTAGATTTCATTTTGCAGTGAAAGAAAAGGACCCAACTCCCAAAGGAGGCACATGTTTCCTGGGTTAAATAATAAACTAGAAACCCAATTTTCCTCTCTTTTGGTTAAAGTGTTTAAAAAGCAATTAAATATGTAGTCTATCCTTACAAGCTTTTTTTCTAGTGAATAGTCACATGTCTATAAAGATCACTTTGAAATTCTAGGAAAAAAAGGCAAAATGACCATTCAGCACACTAAGTTGTTAATAATATTAATAAATGCAAAGTTGTAAATGTAGAGTCAGATTCTACTTAGTAATCAACATCTCATTATACCAACAAAGTGACTTAACATTTACTGACTGCTTTCTATAAATGTACCAGAAACATTCTAAGTAATTTGCCTGCAGTATCTCATTTATTTTCACTATAGCTTTATGAAATAACTACAAGTACTCCCATTTCCCAGCTAAAATAAGGCTAAGATAAGTTAAATCGTTTGCCTAATATCATACAGTAGGCACAGAGTTTTAAAGCCATTAAGGTCGTTATTAAACCTATTAGAATTCAACCATAAATGCCTTTATGAAGAACATTTTTTAGGTCAATGACTTGGGAAAAATTACTTTTCAGTCTTATGGATACCTAAGAGTGAAAAGAAAGACCTTGATTTACCCTAATACGTAAGGTCCTAACCAAGCTCCTTATAGAGCACACAGGTTAGAAAAGATAAACACTTGTAACAAAATATAGAATGACTAAAGACCAGAGTAAAAAAGAATGATAGAAACTGGAACTACCTCAGTTCCTAATGATTCGTGAATTTATAATGGCTACGAGGTAAAATATCTATAGTACCTTCGGCCTCTCAGAATTACTCAGGAGTTAGGCCAGGGTAGGAGAGGACACAGGTGGGATAGACGGACCACACCCCACTGCAAAGTAATCTATAAGACCCCTCAGCTGGGCATGGTGGCACACGCCTGTAATCCCAGCACTTTGGGAGGCCAAAGTAAGTGGGTCATTTGAGGTCAGGAGTTTGAGACCAGCCTGGCCAAAATGGTGAAAACCCCGTCTCTACTAAAAATACAAAAAATCAGCTGGGTATGTTGGTGCACGCCTGTAATCCCAGTTACTCAGGAGGCTGAGACAGGAGAATTGCTTGAACCCGGAGGCAGAGGCTGCAGTGAGCCAGGATCATGACACTGGACTCCAGCCTGGGCAACAGAGCAAGACTTCACTCCAAAAAACCCTTACTACTTAGGGTTTTCCAAATGAATCGTACATATGCTATCCCCTGCTCTAAGAACTTATATCCTCTAACAAATTACTTTACATAAAGCAATAACTACTTGAAATCAGTAGCACTTAGAGACAGGCAGTTTGGACTAATAAAGAAGGAACAATTTCACTCTGTGGTACTGTACAGAAGGAATGCTGGGGCAACACTGAAGCAGTGAAAGGCTAAAGTGATGAAAAAGTGCTCAGACTTTTGGGAATGATGAATATTATTCTGATTGGGGTAATGGTTTCACAGGTGTATACATATGTCAAAATTGTACACGCCATATATATATATATATATATAACTTACTGTATTCGAATTATACTTCAAAAATCTGCTTAAAAAAAAAAGCAGAGGAGGATAGGAGGAAGCCAACCAAATCCTTTCTATAGTTTGGGTCTAAAGGTATGCTACTGAAATTAGCTTTGGCAGGTGTGCAATGCAGTTAAAACAGTAGGACACCTGAATTTTTAAGAAACCTCAGCTTCCTACAGGACCCTCCAGACTCTAGTCTGTTTAACTCTAGGCATACTCATAATGAGAAATACTGGCTATCAAGAGAAGGCTTTATAACAATAAACAGTTTGACACCCTTTAAGAAATGTAATAGAAACTGCTAGCTAATGAACCCAAAGCACCCACTCACAGCTGTAGCATATAAAAAATATTACAAATCTAGAATAACACAATAACACAGACCAAGAGCATTAGGGCTGCTGACCTCAATAGCAACTACCATGTAGAAATGAGTGGGCTGTGAAAGTGATATCTAGGATTCCTATATAGTCATACGAATTCCTAATTGTTATTTAATCAGCTATTATGTACTACAACAACCAAAGAATCACAGATTAGGTGTACAGTACTTTAATTTTAGATTCACAATTTAGTCCATAAGCCAGGGCAACAAATATGCTTTTCATTTCTAAGGGCTAACAGCTAGGCAAACCATGTGTAATTAAAGAGACTCAAATTAAAATTCATAAATTGACAGTAAAATTTACTGAAATTAATCAATAGATGTAAAAGCTATAGGCATGTATGCAAAATTACCTCAGTTTGTTCAAACACGGTCAGTGGGTCACTAATTCCCCTGTAGTTAAAGGCAAAATAGAAGTAGATACATGCACCTGCATCATAAGTCTGCGTCACCCTAAAAAACAAACAAAATCACCACAGGGGCTTTAAGTTAAGTGAAATCAGATTTAACATCTAGAAACTTAAAGGCAAGACCATCCAAATAATTAGTTTAAGCTATAACCTCAGTTTCTTCCCAGCCTCCTACTCCACGGAAGGAATACACATTGGCTTGCTTTAGAGTTGTCACCAAAACAGGTGAATGGACGATGCAGTGCAAAACAAGAATTTTACCTCCACTGAAGTACCAATTTAGTCAATATTACAGGTACACAGTCAAACTTTCTCATGTCTGTCCCATGTTACTAAAACTTCTATTGGGAAATAACCAAAAATCTTTTACACATTGTATCAGCATTTTATGATGAAATGCCATTTTCACTGATTTTATTGCTTTGTTATCTAGAAGTAATGAGAGCTATCAGCAGCATGTGTGAAAACAATATATGTAGTCAGGTAAGTATGAGTATTCATTGCTTTAAATTACATAATCAAAATAACATTTAACAAAATTACTGAAAAATATACATATCTTCCATACTACAAATAGTACAACTCCATTATTTTTCAAGAGGGTGTTTTCCTTCCAAAGGACCACACAATGAGGTCCATATGTGCAAGTGAAAACTATATTTTGTACTGCCACAGTAAACAGATGTGATATAAAACATCTGCCCCTTGAAAAAGGCAAAATTAAACTTGAAACAAGAAACTTGGTTCCTTTCATTGGCTCCATCACTGCTGAGAATAGGAACATGAAATGCATAGAATACTCATGGACATGCCAACACTGACTAAAATCAATTTTCATTATTTAAAAAATCTATATTGATAAAATGTGGGCAAACTATAATCTCTTCAAAATACATTAAGTCCTCTTGTCAGAGGCATGTGAACCAGAGCAACTCCATCTTAAGTAGGAGCTGGGTAAAATGATGCTGAAACCTACCTACTGGGCGGCAATCCCAGGCGGTTAAGCCATTCTAAGTCACAGCACAAGACAGGAGGTCAGCACAAGATGCAGGTCATAAAGGCCTTGCAGTAAAGAAGCCAGCTAAATCCCACCAAAACCAAGATTGCCACGAGAATGACCTCTGGTCATCCTCACTGCTGTATCTATACTCCCATCAGTGCCATGACAGTTTGCAAATGCCATGACAACATCAGGAAGTTACCCTATATTGTCTAAAAAGGGGAGGCATGAATAATCCACACCTTATTTAGCATATCAAGAAATAACCATAAAAATGGGCAATCAGCAGCCATTCTTTTTTACTTTTACTTTTTTAACAAATTTGCTTTCACTTTGCACTGCAAACTTGCTCTGAATTCTTTCTTGTGCAAAATCCAAGAACCCTTTTTTGAGGTCTAGATCTTTCCAGGACCTCCTTTCCTGTAACACTCTGGCTTCTATACTATAAATACTTCATTTGTTTGGATTCTCCTGGCTCAATAGACTTAAAGATTTTGGGTAGAAAAAAAGCCAATCGCTGCAGTTGAGACCAATACAAAGACACTGTTTAGTTCTGGCTATAACTTTTTCTTTTTTCTTTTTTTTTTTTTGAGACGGAGTTTCGCTCTTGTTACCCAGGCTGGAGTGCAATGGCGCGATCTCGGCTCACCGCAACCTCCGTCTCCTGGGTTCAAGCAATTCTCCTGCCTCAGCCTCCCAAGTAGCTGGGATTACAGGCACGCGCCACCATGCCCAGCTGATTTTTTGTAGTTTTAGTAGAGACGGGATTTCACCGTGTTGACCAGGATGGTCTCGATCTCTTGACCTCGTGATCCACCCGCCTCGGCCTCCCAAAGTGCTGGGATTACAGGCGTGAGCCACCGCACCCGGCCCTGGCTATAACTTTAAAAATAAATGACAACAAAATAAAAATCATTAATATTTTTTTCTACACAGATAATTTAAATGCACTAGAAGAAACTCTTCTAAGCTCTGCATAGCCAAAACATAATATAGTCTAAGGATACAGAACAACAAACAAGATTAAAGAATGCTGATAATTCTGGGTTCAGTTTAATAAGCTATCTGATAATATACCAGACACTTTGACAGAGAGAACATAAATACAGACACCATCAATTATCTTATGCAGCTTAAAATCAGTCTATACAAAGAACAAGAAAATTGGGTAGGTCGGACTGGGAAAAATGTTCTAGAAAGGCATACCTAAATGGAGACTGACAAAAAATGTAAGATATTGTTCCAGGAAAAACAAATGCCAATATTATGAAGGCATAGGAGAAATCAACCAGGAGATAACAGAGGAGTAAGAAAGCTAGACATTCATGATTAGAGGAACTATATGGACAAAAAGATTAAGGGAACAAAGCAGGGGAAAATGAGCTGAAAATAACCACAATTCTGATATCAGGAATAAGAAAAATCAAAGAACTTGAGGAAGAAACCAAGATCAAAGGACCAATGGCTGTCACTGCTGTGAAAGCTTGAGGAGACATACCTTTACCCAGCACCAACTCTACAGAACACAGGTCCTCTGTGGCACACAGACCTGCTTTTCTCTCTCCCTAGGCCTTATATCTTCTCACATGCTACTCACCCTACCTCAATCACTGACTCTTCCTAAGCATGTATGCCCTTTTTCTTCCTCTTTAAAAACTACTTTCCCAGGTCAATAGGACACAGAAGCCAACTTAAAAGAGCTCTCAATAGCCATGCTGGGAAAATCTGAGCAACAAAGTGAATAATGACAATAATGGCTACATTCCAGAGAAAAAATGCCTATGAGTCCCTATGGATAGGCTGATAAATAGATAGATAGTGGCAGGGAGTGGGGGTGGAGGGCAGGCAGAAAAGGAGGGGAGAAGAAAGCTGTTCTTCACAGCGAATTCCAATTGATAAATGTAAAATGAATGATTAAAATAGAAAATTACCATTTGCAAGTATCACAGTAATAACTGTTGTAATCAAGAATCCACAGTAGGAGATTGATGCGACTAGGAGATGGCGTAAGAAACTAAGAAACAGGATGAAACAGGATATTTGTATCACAGTCTCAAAGTTTCTCCCCATAAGATTTTTTTTTAAGACACAGTTTTGCTCTTGTTGCCCAGGCTATGGTGCAGTGATGTGATCTCAGCTCACTGTAACTTCTGCCTCTGAGGTTCACGCAGTTCTCCTGCCTCAGTCTCCCCAATAGCTGGGACTACAGGCATGCACCACTACACCCAGCTAATTTTTCTATTTTTAGTAGAGATGGGGTTTCACCATGTTGGGCAGGCTGGTCTTGAACTCCACACCTCAGGTGATTGCCTCCCTTAGCCTCCCAAAGTGCTGGGATAACAGGCATGAGCCACCATGCTCAGCCTATATATTTTTCAAGTATAATGAGAAAAAATGGTAATTATAGAGTGGAGAAACCTGGCAGGTACCATCCTAACCAAGTAGTCTAAGTTAACATCACCAATAATGAGACTTAATAAATATCATAATTCTCCTGATTTAATCCACCAAGAAGAGCACGTCACTACCGCTTCTGTGGTAATCTTGCCAAACCTGTAACTTGAATTTGATCACAAGAAAACATCAGATAAACCTAAACTGAGAGATATTTTACAAGGTAACTGACCAGTAGTCTTCAAATGTATAAAGGTTATGAAAGATAAAGATATCAGTGGGACAAATGATAAAGAAAGGTTTGTGAGTTAGGTAAAAATATTGAAACAACACATTTTTTGGTTTTGATAGTCATACTATAATTATGTGAGTTATCAGTGTGAAAAGTAAAAAGTTCCTCTTCAAAGTTTCTGCTTTTGTGAAAGAATAAATAATAAATATTGGAAATAATATTTTCTTTTAAAAACTAACTTCCTTGAAGCTTCCTTGCTTTTTGCTAATAACTCTTTGTTAAGCTCTATGTAGCTGTTAAATGTAGTAAGGAAATAAGTACATTCTATGTCCTTGTACTTCAACCAAGTTATTTGTTCTGGCCTATAGCCTGCTCAGACATGTCCAAGGCATTTCCTGGCTTACAGCCTATGCCTCTTCCTTATTTGGAAATGTTATTATTCTCCTAGTTTCCCATAAACAACATCCTTCTGTTCTTTGTCCTCCATCACACGTTTACCTATTTAGGAAAATTTTAAGTTTTCAGCCAATCAGGATCAGGCTAGATTGTGCAGGTCAGCTCCAGCCAATGGAGATAGGACACAGCAGTAAGGACCCAATGCATCAGGGATAAAAATCTCTGCTTTTCTTTGTTCAATGTGCTCTCGTGACAATCAGGCTTCCAAGAAGCATGCTTTCTGCAGAAAGTAAAATTGCCTTGCTCAGAAAATTCTTCAAGAGCTAGTTCTTCTTTTTGACACCAAGGAACAAGCATTTGCTTCTAATGTCAGCATTTGAGGAAGATGAGTAAAAGGTACCCAGGAGCTATTTGTACAATACTATTTTTTTTTGTAAGTCTAGTTACACCTCCCCCAAAATTAGAAATTTAAAAGCAATATAAATGTTTCTCGAATTGGCCCATCTCCCTTAAGAGGGATTAAAATATATATATATAACTAAGTATACTGCAGTTAAAGTCAGCCTCTAAACAGACCAGATGAAATGTGATTATCAGTTAAGTTTTACAAACTCCCTCAAAGATAAAAGAAATAAGTATGAGAACTAAAAACTAAGAAAAGGGAGAAATGCCCAAATACCAAATACAATTAGACTGAGTACAATATAGCATCTTTACTAAGTTTACATTAATAATTAGTAAGCATTTGGGAAACAAATAGGATGACTGCGCCAAATGCAGTGACACAGTCTTAAAATACTGCCTGTGACCCCAAATTTGTACATGTTGAATGTCTGTATACAGAAGATATCAAGAATGTTAGATTATTAAATCATATATATAATAGATATCTGACTTTTCAAAATGCAATTAGGAACGCATTTAAAAGGGAGGTAAGGTAATATTAGTCAAGTCTCCATATGCAATTTACAGAGGTTCCCACAAAGAATTTAATTTAACAGAAGGAGCAAATGCAGAGGAAATACCCTGTTTACTACACAATACAAATAGAATCTATCTACAATTTTAATTGCCTTTTAGGCCAAATGTTAGGTGCCTCAGAAAAGAAGAAATGAACTGTTTAACAATGCTACTGTCAATTTGCCAGCTGTGTTTTTCTCTCCTAGTGTTAATTCACCCTCATAAAAAAAGATCTCTTGAATATTTACATTTTAAGTACCAGATATACAAAGCTTAAGAAACACCGGAAAACCATTTTAACTACAAGGGCACTATCATTAAGAATAACCAAATTCAAATAAAGTGTGAAGGATAAATGAATGAAATGAATTTGTAGAAATTAGTAAAATATATATCACTAATAAGATAATCACTAACATTTATAAATAGATGTAACTAAATATTAATAGAGCGTTAATTATCACCTTTCAACAAATCTAGGATCTGTATATTACACAGTTCAGTTTTCGGTAGAGGAACGATCACTGAAGTCATAACAAAGCTTGATAAGCCTGATTGATTAGTATCTCAGACAAGTCCAAATACCTTCTGGAATACCTCTATTTGGGTAAATTTCAGAAAGTGACTTAGACCTAACGCCTTTTACAATAGATCAATTCTATCATTTAAGACACTTAAACACAAACTTCTACCAAAATCAACTGGACAAGCACTAGTGTGGTTGTCAAAGTCACTACATTATTCTTTAATTAAAAAAAAAAGTTTGTGCTTTATAGTTTTTGGAGTGCTTTATTTGTATTAGACTCACTGACCAGCAATTATTTCCCATATAATTTCTTCAGAAAAGTTAGGACTGGAATTTCTATTCCAATGTACAAAATACATTTTAATGGACAAAAATGAGATAAATGAACTCAATAAATATACCTTACACCTGAGTTATTTTTTTTAGGATCCTTGATTTTAAATAGATCTAAAATTATTTTTAAATAACTTGGAAACAGCTTTGTAAAATGTTATTTCAACTCTGATTTTAGATACAGGTGGTCCATGTGCATGTTTGTTACATCGGAATATTGTGTGTTAATGAGGTCTGGAGTAAGGGATCCTATCATCCAGGTAGTGAGCATAGCACCTGATAAAAAAAAACTGGTTTAAAAAATACATCTCACATATTCAACGTAGAATAATCTCCTTAGCCAAATCAAACTAAACTGAAATCCATCTCTGATTAAATGTTAATCAAGTGTGAGCCATAACTTAACTCTTATTGATCAAAGCCATTCAAATAAGGAGGCTTTGCATATTCTAACTGGTTTTATAAGATGGTCACAAAAACTGAACATATAAGCTTTTACAGGAAAACCATTCTTAAAACAGCTACTTAATAAATATGACACATGGCCAATTCAGTCTAAATATACCAATTCTACCTATCTATAATATAGAATGAAGATTCTTAGGCCTCATGAATACATTCTGCAGAACCTAGATCTAAGTGTAATTACAGAATTTGCCCTAAGGCAGAGTATTTTATTTCCTAATCATTTCCCATGGGTAGTGGTTTATCACGATAGTTTCACAATGTTACAGCAGGGGTGGGGTTCTTAAGAGATGTTGAACAGGAACTTGGGGAAGAAGGAAGAAGGGTGAAGGGTAAATCTATTAAGTTACCATTTGACAAAACAAAGGAGTAAAAATTTCTCGACTATACAAGAATAGATTTGATTATCTAAAATGAAACAAATAGCTTTTGGATTATTGTGTTTGATTTGTTTTCAGGATTATAATAAAAGTGGCCTGACTGACTGCTAAAAGACTGGATCATCAAGAGAAAAATGAAGCATCAGTTTGGGTTGATAATATAAACACAAAAATTTTTCCTTAGATTTTAAGGACTTTAAGATAAAAGGTACATTGTGAAAGATACCCCAAAATTTAAAATAAATTAAAAGTAACATGACATTCTTACACCCAGCATGCCAACATTAGCTTTATCCCATTGTAGGCTTTTTACTACACAGAACAAGACCTCTTTTTATCTCAAATGCCTAGCAAATAATCTCTAAAATCTATTTTTTTCAGCTTTTATAATCTCTGATCCCATCCTCAGTGTACTTATTCTAAATCATGTTAATACACAGACTTGACTTAGTACTTTCTGCAAGGTTGGGTAAACCTGGACAGTCTCTCCCACACAGAAGCAGAAATAACTACTTTAAGGAGAGTCTTTTGATTGAAATGAACATTTAACGTTGTAAGAAAGATGCTTTCCTCAGATTTCATGTTAATTTTACTTTCTTACCTTGCAGAAGCACAATTTAGCAAACTCTAAAGGGTATCTCTTCCCAATGGGAACAATAAGGAAAACTAAGAAACACAACAGTAGTAGTAGGAAAGTACAAAATAAGACAATGGAAAAGATAGAGAAAAGACAAAACAAAACAAAACAAAAAACCCACACACAAAATTACCAGTTTAAAGAGTACAGAAATATTTATAGTCTTGCAAAACAAATATATGCAATGGCTTTAAGGAGCAAGTAAGCTTAACAATTAAATGACTTAATGAGGACTTGTCATTGGAAAGGAAAGGCAAATATACAAATTTTCCTTACTAATACTAGTATGAATTATCTACCTCAAGCTTAATGTAATTATGTCACAACAATACCACAGCATTTACAGAGCCCTTCAGAGCCTAACAGTTTTTTCATATGCTTTCTCATTTCATTTTCACAACAGTTCCATCAAGAAATATCACTACCACTATTTTACTGATAATATTAGAGCTTGAAGAGATTAAGTTACTAGTAAAGAGCAAAATACTGCCTTCACTCTTCAAACGGAGTCATGTTGGGTATGTATATAATTTATAATTTCTTGACTATATAATTTGTAGTTTCAGTCAGTAGAGGAGTCCTCCTCTTTTTCCAGGAGTTCAGACACCTTGCTCTTCACTGCCATGCCACCCAGATAGGGAGGAAGGCTTACTCAAAAAAGGGTGTCCTACTCCTAAGAGGCTCAGGATTGCTGTAAAATTCCAGTGGTACAATCCTAACAAGGTGCTAAGTGAAGGTTAGGTAAGCTGGCCAAATGTAATAGACTGAAGATTTTCCTCAGATGGAAAACTGTATTTCCCCCATTGATTAAAAAACAAAACAAAACATTTTTTTCAGAATAGAAAATATAAGAACAATTTTTAAAACTCACCTGCATGTAGAAAAAGGAGCAAACTGAACACCCTTCTCTTTGCATTCCCTTGTTATTCTTTCTTTTACATTTCTACAGAGATCTACAACCCTAAAAAAAGATAAATGAATAGAATATTAAGTTTTCAAATGAGAACTATACAAATTCCAATAAATGCTGGTTAATCTAGCATCATTCAAGTCTAAAATTTTCTTAGCTAAAGCTTTCATAGTTGTTCTCTCAAGAATGAAAAAGAGCATTGATCATTCAAATTGAGCCCTCCATTCCTAACTTCAAAAAAAGGAAAGTTTTTTTCTCTTTTTGACTTAAGGAAAACAGAAAGTCACAAGAACATACTCAAGTCTCCTGAATGCAGTTTCTTACACTTAGGAAAGCCTGATTTCAAAACCAATTTAATTATAAGATTTTAAGAGCTTTAAAAAAAGCTATAAAGAAGATGTTAGTGAAAATTCAATTCTGGGTTATATGAATACCAATCTTTACCCATGTCTAAGTTTTTCTTAATTCAAAAATATCTCAGGTGACATGCAGTTGTTCACACCTATAATCTCAGTACTTTGGGAAGTTGAGGCGGGATGACTGCTAGAGCCCAGGAGTTTGAGACTAGTCTGGGCAACAGTGAGACCCTATCTCTACAAGATATTAAAAAAATTATCCAGGCATGATGGCATGCACCTGTAGTCCTAGCTACTTAGGAGGCTGAGGTGGGAGAATCACTGGAGCCCAGGAAGTCAGGGCTACACCACTGCACTCCAGCTTGGGTAACAGAACAAGACTCTATCTCAAATAAAATAATAATAATTATTATTATTTAATAATCATACTACTACTAGCCTGGACAACATAGTGAGACCTCGTCTCTACTAAAAATCAAAACAATTAGTTGGGCAAGGTGGCATATGCCTATAGTCCCAGCTACTTGGGAGACTGAGGCAGGAGGACTGCTTGAGCCCAGAAGGTTGAGGTTGCAGTAAGCCAACATCACATTACTGCACTCCAGCATAGGTGACACAGCAAGGCCCTGTCTTTCAAAAGAAATTATAATCATGATGTTATATCAAATGTTTGATAGCTTATTCTCAAGCTGAAATCCAATATGACAAAGATCTACCGAAGACAAACTGTATAAAGTATTAATGTGCTATGCTGGACTACTTGATATTAAAAGTCCCATTTTATTCCCCATTAAATATCCTGGCCACATACTGACACTGATTGTGTGTTTTAAACCTTGACTTGTTTAGCATCATGAGACAAAATGATACCAGAAAAACTCAAAAGTTTGACTTATCTCTAGTTTCAAGACACAGACTTGACTGTATGAGAACCAATTTGATAAAAACAGTAATGTTTAAACAGATCATACTTTATAAAGTTACCCATATTGCCAATAAGAACAGTATATGATTAAATTATAAATACAAAAAGGGCTTTAGTGTCTTATTAGCATGTCAAATTTTTTATTTTTATGAATATAGTATTTGAAAGTTGAAATAATTCTCATTTCATAAAACAATGTTCTTAAGTTAAATTCTGCTTTAGTTTATGAGAGTTGCAGGTATATATGACTTATCAATATTATCTATGCATCACTTATGCACAGAGGTATAGAATGGCAAGGATGCATGTTTGAAAAAATATCTCATAAAACATTTAGATTACAGATATTTAATGTCTTAATTTGAAAATCTACCTTATAAAACAAATCTTTATAAATAAAATCTATTAAGCTTTAATATTTATGAGTTAATGACTATTACAAATTTATAAAAGTAGTAAGTTCTTTGGTTTTAACAAGTTCTTTATGTTGGCACTAGAAAATAAAATTTAATTGCTACAGCTAAGTAGTCTAAAAAAACTAAGAATATAATCATCTGCTATTACAGTCCTTTGCAAGTTATGCCACTGTGTGAACTGCATTTCAGTTTAAATGCACTTAAATGTATTCAATCATCTCAAATACAATAGGAAACAGGAAAATGTTAAGAGTTCCTTATGTCTAAACCCTCACTGATAGTTGAATAATGAAAAGGAGATGGAGAAAGGGCCAACTGAACAGTTACAACCCCCAATGGGACACTTCGAGTAAATGACTTTTAGGGAAAGGGTTCTCAAAGTATTCTCTCATAGTACTTGATCAAAGGCTGTGTCCACCAAAGGCTGTGTCCATTTGGATTAGTCCTTTTATAGCACAGAGACATAACTGCATACTTTTAAATTCTTATTAACAAATTTAACACTTGACCATTTCCTCCCTGAAAAAAACTTGCCTGGGATTTTTTCACATCATTGGATTACTTCTACACCCTCTAGATATTATTATTCAATATACTTTGTCACCTTTTATTTTGTTTGTAACATTAAATGTTGAGGTTCCCTAAACCTCTTTCTTAGGCCCTCTTTTTTTCCCTTCACTCCATACTATCTGTAAGTGTTTGTATCCACTTTCTTGGATTTAATTAGAAGACTTGCTGGTGTCTCCAAAATCTGTAACATCGCTGGGCACAGTGGCTCATTCCTGTAATCTCAGCACTTTGGGAGGCCAAAGCAGGAGGATTGCTTGAGCCCAGGAGTTTAAGACCAGCCTGGCCAACATAGAGACTTCATCTCTACAAATAAAAAAATTAGCCAGGCACGGTGATGTGCACCTGGGATCCCACCTACTTAGGAGGTCAAGATGGGAGAATTGTTTGAGCCCAGGCGGTCAAGGCTGGAGTGAACTGTGATAGCATCACTACAGTCTGGCCTGGGTGACAGACCGAGATTCTATCTCAAAAAGAAAAAAATTAAAACCTCCAACCCTTAAGGTATCTATTTTTATAGACTGTAATCTCAAATTATTCCCAAGCTCATTCATAAGAATCTATAAAGAATATTCACTGAGAACCTAACAGGTACAGCCACCGTAGTAGGCATGGGTTGGAACACAATAGAATGGGACACTTAGGGAAACATAAAAATTAGTATGACCAGTAATCCCTCAAGTGGCTTATATATGAAAAAGCCAATAATCTAATAATGTGTGAAAGTTAAAGACCCTGATCCCATGGGCTAGTGCCTCTAGTTAGTTAAAGGTTTGAAAGAAAAAGAAAATTGCTAAATGGTTGTCAACAAGTATATTTTACATAAAAACATAGTTGCCTTCCATTAATATTATTTATTAAAACTGCAGCTGAAGAAATTGTTTTAAACAAAAACAAATGTGTAACTGCATAAAACAGAAATTATTGGTGTATCAATTAAATAAATATGCAAGTATATATAAAGAACAGATGAAGAGAAATTTTAAAAATTAGCACATGATTAGCTTCCACAGTTGCAAGAATAAAAAAAACAAGATGTCAATGATCAGTTAGTACTAACTGATGACAAAGAAATTCATTAACTCTTAAGAGGTAGCAGCATTGCACTAACCCACTTTCCCAGTGATATGGAGTGAATGTCTGTGTCCCTCTCAAAATCCATCTATTGAAATCCTAAGCCCCAATGCAATGGTATTAGAAGGTGGGGCCTTTGGGGAGTAATTAGGTCATGAGGGTGGAGCTGCATGATGGGATTAGTGCTCTTATAAAAAGATATGAAAGGGTTTGCTTGCTTTCTCTCTCTGCTTTCCCCCAGGTGAAGATATTAAGAAGGTGCCATCTATAAAACCAAGAAGAGGGCCTTCACCAAAACCCCAACCATATTAACACACTGATCTCAGACTCCAAGCCTCCAGAACTGTGAGAAATAATTGTTTCTTGTCTAAGAATATTTAAGTTACCCAGTCTAAGGTGCTCTGTATAGCAGGTCAAATTGGCTAAGATACCCAAGGAGAGGAATTAAACACTAAAATGATCTTTGATGTGTTAAAAAGTTTTCCCCAACTTTTCGAGTCCTTTGTCTTGTGTTGTGTTTGTGAGGAGGGGTTCTTTTGGGGTTTCTTTTAGTTTTTCCTGCCAGGTAGATAAAACTGACATAGAAAAAAAGGCTGGAGAGAGACTGTTTGCATTGACTAGTCCTGTGGAAAAAACCAAGCTCGTTAGAACGTCTGCCTTACTGTTTCTCCAGGGAATGAAAAATATGTTTCTACCCTTTTTTTCTAAGTATTTGTCTTTAGTTTTGATTTTGGAAAGTTGTTACGCATTTGTTTTTAGCTAAAAATAAAAACTAATTTTATACTAAAAAATTAATAATTTTTTTTAAAAAAAAGTTTTGAAACCACTATGAATAGCTGCCAAACTATTTCTAATACTCAAAGGCTGACGACTTCATAATATTTTTATTTAAAGTATTTATTCCCCTTGTTAAAATTTAGCATCAAAATTTATGAATAACATTTCAACCTGAGGAAGCTTATTTAAAAAAGAAAAAAATTGTGAATGACAAAGTGATAGTATAATATAAACTAGGTTACTAGGTAACAATGCATGGAATATGAGCACCAATGTACTAACTCAGTAGATGATGACTGCATGTAGAAAAGTAAAAAGTTGGCCAGGCACAGTGGCTCACGCTTGTAATTCTAGCACTTTGGGAGGCCAAGGTGGAAGGAGTTCGAGACTAGCCTGACCAACATGGAGAAACCCTATCTCTACTAAAAATACAAAAATTACCCAGGCATAGTGGAGCATGCCTGTAACCCCAGCTACTTGGGAGGCTGAGGCAGGAGAATCATTTGAACCTGGGAGGCAGAGGTTGTGATGAGCCAAGATCATGCCATTGCACTCCCACCTGGGCAACAAGAGTGAAACTCCATCAAAAAGATAGGTGGGGACAGGAGGGGAGGGGAGGGGAGGGAAGGGAGAAAAGGAAAGTAAAAAGTTTTCTGGGGGAAAAAAGAAACTGGAAGAAACCAAAAAATTAAGATATGCAATCTAAGAAGCAGATTCACAGGGAATTGTTATGTCTTATACACTTCATTGTGGATTTAATGTACTTTATATTTTAAAAAGAAATGTAAAATATCAGTACACTAGAAAAAAATTAAAATATACAGGTTGAATATCCTGCAAAAATCCAAAATGTGAAATGCCCCCAAATCTGAAAGTTTTTGAGTATCAACATGATGGTCAAAAGAAATGCTCCAGTGATTTCCAGTGAAATTTCCATATTCGGGATACTCAAATGATAAATACATAATATAAATATTCTGAAATCTGAAACACTTCTGGTCCCAAGCATTTTGGATAAGGGACTGTACAGACAATCCCCTTGAGAATTTTTTTGTAACTAAATGAGTTATAATAAAACTCACAGGTCTATTAATAAATTATTTCACATTTCCTAATCAGCTTTTATTAATTCATTAACCAATATTGTGTGTATGTATTTCCAGTAAAGAAACCCTTCTAAAATCTATTTCCATCCATCTTATTTGGGCCATTTCCTCTAATTTGCTCCAGTAACAAAATTTTGCTTACATTTAAAAATAGAAATTGTATTTAATTTCCTAAACTAAATTTCTTTTAGAAATCATTTAAATTCCCATTTTTACAAATACAAATATCAAAAGCTAAATAATATACTATTAAGGACAGTTAACTGGTTTTATACTTTGGGAGGACTTTTTAGAGAACATTTAAGCAATATTAATCACTTAAGAATTTAAGTCGAAGCTAGATATAACCACATAATAACACTGAGCATTCAATAACATTCTTCAAAATGTAAACTTCAACAATACCTTCCTTCCTTGGATCACAGACAAATTTTCTTCAACTCACCCCACCCAATAAAACACTTGAAAATATGGCATTCTGATGAATACATTAATTTAAATAAAAGTAGTTGCCTTGTCTCAATGTTTCTTCATAAAATGTTGTAAACTTACATGTTCACACAGAAAGAAACATTACTTCAAGCAATTCATATCACATATTTGAATAATATCAGGTATTATTATATTTTACCTGTCCCAAGGAGCAGAAGTCTCAAAAGATTCTCCTAATACATAGTATTCCAAAGCCAAGTCCTATTAAGACACAAACAGAAAAAACAAGAAATTACAACAGATGCAGAAGAATCAATAACACTGTTAATCTTTCAAGTTCATTGTTAGTATCACGTTTCTAATTTAACTTACGCTGCTCTTTACTATCCACCTCATAAAAGCACTGAAAAGTTGCCCCCAGAATGAGATGCAGCCTCCATAACTAAAGGAACCTTGCCTGTCCTATTCTTCTCTGTATCGTTGGCACCAGGCAGAGTGCCTGACTCAGGGTAAGAACTCAAATTTTTATTTCTCTAATGAATGGAGTTTCTATCCAGAACAGTCTATGTACATGTAGACAATACTAACAGAATAGAATTTTAGTGGCATAAATAGTAAATTAACCAATATCAAAAATTAGTCAAGATCAAAGAAGCAGGAGGATCAAGAAGCGGGGGTGGGGGAGTGTTTAGAAGGAAGAGACTTTTTTCTTAAAAGCATCTCTTCTTGAAAAATATAGTAATATAGTGCATCTATCTGAAGTGACAGATTGGATTAAACATCTGCAGGCACTTCTAGGAAAATATTTTATAGTACAGAGGATATAATACTCATATTACAAGTAACTTATAATACTTAATATCTTTACCCAGAGCAAAATTGTTCTATTATCAAAATTGGAAAGATACACAAGCCACCAAAGAAGTCCAGGGATTTGAAAGAAAATTTTATAAGGTAGAAAAGTCAATATACGTTAAGTTTTTACTTCTAGTAAAATGAGTCATTTCAACCCACCTGTGGTTGATACAAAAAAAAAAAAAATCCCCAAATTACTGATCTAAAACATTTTGTTTTCTCTAATGCACTTATTTATTCAGTAAACATATATTTGGAGACAATGGTATTAACCATTGCAAAGCTTATAAAAACATAAAACATGTAATCTAGGGGAGGGGGAGCAGGAATCCCTAACTTGCTGTTGACTCAGTTTTAACATTAACTAGAACCTGAAAAATTAAGATAGATACTCCAAATTGTGTCTATGTGAGGGAGGGTGTTCTCTTTCCGGGTCCACGAGGGTGAGTAGTTTTAAGGGCAAGAACTTCCCAGCACCATGCCCCCCTTTCATCTCTCTCCATCAGGAGATTTAACAGTCTCTGTTTTAATTTTCGTGGGCACAGGAAGAATCAAAAGTCAATCACTCCAGTGGAAGTTCTAAGGAACCCTTTTCATTGGCCAGAGAACTTAGAGAAGGTAGGCGTTCCTCACAGGTTAAAAGTCCCCTTCTTCCACACCCCTTTGGACTCCATGTTTGGATTCCCTTCCATAAACACTCGCTCGTGGAAGCCTGTCTTTCCCTCCTAAACTCCATCTCTCTCTATATATTCCCTTCCACTCAGTGTAGAAGCTGCTTTCCTCTCCTGGATTCCATCTGCCTGGATTCTCTCACTCAGTGTGAGGGGAGTTTTCCTTCTCTGGTTTTCTCTCTTGGGGAAGCCTTCTCACTCAGAGTGAGAGCAGCTTTTCCTTCTCTCATTCAGTGTGAGAGTTAGCTGTTTCTTTCTCTCTCCTCCTGTTTCTCTTTCTCTACTTAAATAAATCACTTTCTACAAACACTTTTGACTCCAGCATTTACTGCGCACTGCACCATGGTCTCCCAGACCAAGAACCTGGAGAAACATCCTCTCAGGGGAACTGAGGGCTCCCCTGAACCCCAACATTACATTTTGGTGAGCCAGCCAGAAGAGGGGTACAGCCAGTCTTGAGGGGTATAGCCAGGAAAGGAGTACAGCCAGAGAACAAGACTTCAAATTGTGAGTGAAACCAGCCCCATTCTGTCCTGTCTCTTTAAGAACACCTGCAGCAGCTGCAGCCAGGCAGGGCTAAGGAGAACCGGAGCAGAGGTACCAAGCCGCAGGGGCTTGGCCCAGCCTGTGCCTGTCTTAAGCAGTGTAGGCCAGCCGGAATTAAAAGTGTAGTTTTTCCTCCAAGCTCTTTCTCTGCTTTCTGCTCCTTCTCTATCTTTCTGGCTATTATCTCTGGGACAAAAACCTGCGGGAGCCTGTGGGAAGGAGTGAGCAGAGCCTTTCACTCCTTGCCAGCTGGAACTGGAACTGCTACCACCCACAGCCCAGCCCTGAAGCCAGGCCAGGAAAAGCTGCCAGGTGGGGTGAGGCGAGGTGTGTCCCAGCCAGGCGTGGAGGCTCTGAGCAGAGTGGCGGTGCTTAAGAAAACACCACAGGGAAATGTTTTTGCTGGTTCACTTGCTCACTGGCATGTTCGGATCCCCAGTTGGGACGGCAAACTGCTGCTCGGTCCCAGAGGTGGGGCTCCCCTGGGGCGTTCACCTGCCAGCCTCGGGTCCCTGTTTGAGCAGCAGCTGGGGGAGTGGCCTTAGGTGCGCACATGGGCCCGGCAACATGGCAGACGGGACACTGTGGGGAGCATGGCAGGCTTCCCCTCTGGCATCAGGCAATGTAAAGAGGCACCTGAGTGGGCGGCTGCAGTGGCCCAGCCTGCCTTCTTTGAACTGTGTGCTCTAATGGCCCCTCCCTAGAAGTTAACCCTTCTAGGGCAGTTTTATAAATTGGCTTGTATAAATTGGACTTTTGCTGGGGAATATTGGTACCCATCTCCTGTGCCTCATTGGCCTTGTCTGGGCTCAATGGTACATGACTACCCAACCCAATAGCCCCTTTCATTCCATGCCTCTATGGTAGTCACTGGAGGTCATGCAGACAGTGAGTATGAGTCCCATGATGCTGGTAGGTCATGATTCGAATCCAGTACATGGGAGGCCCTCTGATAAGATGGATCACACATCTTGGGCACACGAAATTTTGGGGTACTGACTGAAAGACGTTTCATTTCAGTACCCGTTTTACCTAAGGGATGCCTTAGGTCAAAGTGGCTATAATTTCTTTAACCAGGAATGCTAACATTCCTTGTGTTTGATTTCAGATGAGTGCTTCTATTCCCAAGCTCAAGTCCCCATTAAAGTATATACTGGAAAATTGGGACCAATTTAGCACATAGCCTTTAAGGGAGAAGTGGGTCATTTTTCTTTGCTGAACAGCGTGGCCAAATTATCCTCTGCTGAGTGGAAAACCTAGCCCTCAAAGGGAAGGGAAGAAAACCCAACAGCTTTCCTTGAGCGATTGCAGGAGGCCTTAAGAAAGTACAATCCCCTGTCACCAGATTCCATTGAGGGTCAGTAATACTAAAGGACAAGTTTATTATTCAGTCAGCAGCAGGTATCAGGTGGAAGGTCCAGAAACTGGCCTTGGGGCCAGAACAGAGTCTAGAATCATTACTGAACCAGGCAACCTCAATGTTTTATAATAGAGGTCCAGGGGTTAATCTTCTCCTGGACACTGGCATGGCCTTCTCAGTATTTCTCTCCTGCCCTGGAGACTTGGTGCTTGTTAAATCTCTCCCCTCAGACTCTCCCTCTCTAGGCCCATCTTGGGAAGGACCATTTTTGGTTATTCTGTCTACCTCAAAAGCAGTTAAAGTAGTGGAAATTGACTCATGGATTCATCATACTCAGCTGAAGCCTTGGATACTTCCTGAAGAAAGTCACAAACCCACCACTCTGCAGGCTGAAGTTCCAGGAGATGACCCTTAGTACACCTGGGAGCCATTAGAGGGTCTACATCTGCTTTTCCAACAAGATCCTCAGGGAAGTAACCATGCATAATTATATCCCGGCATTAATAGGACTATAACGCTCAACTTTGATATCTCTTGAACTCCGAGTATCCTTTTCATAGTGGGAAGGGAGCCTGTCTTTTTCTAGGAAAAAGCTGCTATTCTGTAAACCAATTAAGTGTTGTTTTGAACATAGAACTCAGGAATCAATCAAACACAGGGCTAAAAACCTTCAAGAACCTGGCTCAATTCTGTCCTAGGCTTGTTTATAACCATTCTATAATTGTTGGCCTCTGGGCCTTTCATCTCTAACCACTTTGTCACATTTGTTTCTTACAGAACCATAAAGTCACAAATAATCCTACCGCTGGAATCCCGGAGGTCCTCGGCTCATGAGCTCTATTGTGGGCCTCAGGATCAACCTGCACCCCTGAAAGGCTCCCTTCTGGAGGAAACCTCAACTGCAGGGCCCCTTCTATGCCCCATTTCAGCAGGAAGTAGTTAAAGAGCTATCAATGCCCATGTTCCAACAGAAGTTGGACTTTCCTGTTCAGAGGGGGTAATGAGGGAAGGTGTTCTCTTTTCGGGTCCACGAGGGTGAGTAGTTTTAAGGGCAAGAACTTCCCAGCATCATGCCCCACTTCCATCTCTCTCCATCCGGGAGATTTAACAATGTGTTTTTTGTTTTTTTTTTTTTGAGATGGAGTTTCACTCATGTTACCCAGGCTGGAGTGCAATGGCGCGATCTCGGCTCACCGCAACCTCCGCCTCCTGGGTTCAGGCAATTCTCCTGCCTCAGCCTCCTGAGTAGCTGGGATTACAGGCACGCGCCACCATGCTCAGCTAATTTTTTGTAGTTTTAGTAGAGACGGGGTTTCACCATGTTGACCAGGATGGTCTCGATCTCTTGACCTCGTGATCCACCCGCCTCGGCCTCCCAAAGTGCTGGGATTACAGGCTTGAGCCACCGCGCCCGGCCTAACAACGTGTGTTTTAATTTTTGTGGGAATGGGAAGAATCAAAAGTCAATCACTCCAGCAGAAGTTCTAAGGAACCCCTTTCACTGGCCAGAGAACTTAGAGAAGGTAGGGGTTCCTCCCAGGTTAAAAGTACCCTTCTTCCATACCCCTTTGGACTCCATGTTTGGATCCCCTTCCACAAACAATCTCTTGTGTTCTTGAAGCTGTCTTTCTCTCCCCTGGATTTTCCCTCTGGAGTCCCCTTCCACACTCACTCATGGAAGCCTGTCTTCCCCTCCTAAACTCCATCTCTCTCTCTATTCCCTTCCACTCAGTGTACAAGCTGCTTTCCTCTCCTGGATTCCATCTCTCTGGATTCTCTCACTTAATGTGAGAGTTAGCTGTTTCTTTCTCTCTCCTTCTCCTGTTTCTCTTTCTCTACTTAAACAAATCACTTTCTACCAACACTTTTGAGTCCGGCATTTACTGTGCACTGTGCTGTGGTCTCCTCTCCCATTCTTGGGGAGTGATAGACCAAGAACCTGGAGAAATGTCCTCTCAGGGGAACCGAGGGCTCTCCTGAACCCCTGAAACCCAACATTACATATGTTGTACTTGTTACACTTATGTTTCATTTTCTAGAATTCTAAATTCAGTATTATGGGGAAAAAGCTAATATCCTCAGAGAAAATGCCTAAGAAATAATTATGTATATTCAAAATGCTTACTATGGGAAGAAACTATGGCATGATAGTCTATAAAGGTAGATATTATTTACAAGTTCTACAATCATCTAGTACCTTTCATGATCAGTACATCTCTTAATCAAAATTTCTAAAACACTGAACAGGCAATAAATATATTTTTACTTATCACTGTGGGGGCAGAGGACAAAAGACGAGGACTATATGCTTCACTACCATTTAAAATTTAGGTCTTAGCTAGAATTAAATTTTTGCTAAAATGAGAATATATTAATTCAACCTTTCTTAGTTAAATATGTTCAAGTTGACATTTAACTACTTTAAGTTAAATATCAAAATTTTAAAACACAGTTAAGGATTTACACATCATTAAAACAGATTATTAAGTGAAGAATGTTGCTAAATAAAACAGCTTGATTTTAACCAAGTAATGTTATGAATGGTATGCTCAACTTTGAAACAGAAAAAGGCTTCATTCTTTTAAAAAGCAGAAAGACATGTTAAATCATATTTAACTTCCTCAAAAGCATATGGAGAAGGTTTAAATGGGCTTTTGAAGGTTTGTAGCTAAAACAAGGTTCATGTAAAATGATATGCTAAATTACAGTAGCTTAAAATAAAAATAGGGAAGATAATTGCATTCAAAGTAAGAAAAAGTATTGTTTGCAACATAAATGGCAAGAGAAATACAACTTACTCGAATGTATGCAATGACATAGGTCAGCAAATAACCTCTCTGTCCATTATCTTCTCCAGCTGCCAATCCACTGTAATTAAAGAACAAACTGTTAATAAATTTCAAATGAACTATTAAAAACATATAAAACAAACCAAACTGATATGATACCTCAAGATACCTGCTTGATAGATTAACATATATTACACTGCATTTCATTTTTATCTTAATCTCATTAATCATAAATGTATCAAAAAACTGTCAAGAGAATAAGTTTGGATAACAAAAATCTGAAAACACTTTAAATAGTTCTGTTTAGTCTTAATTTCAAACTTTAATCCATCAAACTAATAAAATTGACTCATAAACTCAACTTCTTCTACCCATATTCTCAAAAGAGCAGAGAAAGAATTAACTATGAGAAACAAACAAATAAGTTAAAATAATCTTCACACAAGTATTCTTATTTTATTCATCATATCCATACTCATATGTTCATGTTACTATTGTCTTACTCATATTTGAAGAAATGTGATGACTGACTAGGAACTCCCCAATGCTGAGAAGCTTCCAGAATACTTTAGTACATAGTATTTGGAATGTTAATGTGGTGTTTATTTTATAAAATTTATGATTTAAATGAAAGACAAAACACACTTACATAGAAACATTAAACTTTATAAAGCAATGTATAAACAGATATAAGACCAACACAGGTAAGGTTTTATTACTATGAACATATAAACTATCTCTTTCAATCTGAAAATAGTTTCATCCATAGAAATTGTATCTGTTGCTCTAGTTAGGATTAATCCCATATAACATATAATTCAGTCCAAGTACTCTTGTTTATAAGTTATTCTTATTTTAAAACACAATGAATCAATACTGTTTTCACTATCTTTAGTACATAGTTTCTAATTATGCTTTTTCCATTATCAAACAGAAATTAAAATTTTAACTTTAGTCAACTAAAGGAAAAACCATTTCTCTTAGGGCCTCAATTAACACCTTATAATTAAATATTTTCTTCTTCTGAAGTTGTGTTGGATTTGGTAGTAGGTAAATAATACAATGTAGATGTACTCTTGTTCTATACAAATACTGTAATATAATTTCAGACTAGAATATATGGGCTAAATCAGAATTTCCTGATTGCCATTATGGGTAGATAGTGTTATCCAAAGGAAGTGGCAAAGATTTGATTATAAGCAGCTCTAGTCTAGAACTACTTGAGAATGGGGTATAATAAAAAAAATGAAGGGGACTGTTTGTATTAGAATGTTAATGAGCAAAGAAGATAAAACTTCGGTCCAGCAGTTAGTTGAATGTGAGAAGAAGAGACAAAACACAATTCTGAGTTGGATGTGAGGTTGGAAGTAGAAAGCCAAATAAAGTTTCAAAACAAAAGGAAAACTGCTGTGGTAAGTGCTTGAAGGGAAACAGCTTAGCCCATAGCTCAAGCAGATACAAAACAGAGTCAGACTCTGAGTCCAAGAGAGAAAAAATACCACAGATCTAGGAAACAGAAACTGAAACTACTGAGGAAGGAAAGGAAAAGAGACGGAGGAGTAGGAAAGGGTGCAAGACACCTGTATTGGGAATACTTGAGAAAAGAGAATGCCAAGCATGTAGCTGATGAGAAGTAACAGGTATAAACATTTAGTAGGCTTGCCTCTGTTATGTCAAAATGAGACAAAAAGTCCTACTTTTCCAGTCCCAACAGATCTTTCTTTAGACCCTCCTCTAATATTACTAATATCTGGCAGCAGGAAGGAAACAGATCTGTTCACATTAGGATCCAGGCAGACAAACCACAGAGAAACATGCATTTTCTAATTTAAAGCAGGAAGAAATTAGACATCTTTTCTAAATTCATAAGCCCAAAGAAGTAAAGTCAATCTGGGCTTTGCAAGGAAATCACAGACTTATGATTTAACTTTTTGAAACTTATCTCTTTTTAGCTTTCAGAACTGTCAATATTCTAGCCAGAATTACCTTAAAATAAAATATATAAAGAATAGTAGGGCTTAAAAATTAAATGCATCTAAATTGTCACTTTTGTAATCACTCCAAAAAGACTGCATGTAGATTCAAACTGCCTTATGTTAAAGTAGCAACATCCATTCCCTACTTCCTGCTGTCCCCACAAATTTCAAATATCAATTCAAGGTTTTTAAACAAATTTAAAGCTGTCTCATGAAGAAGGACTGGAAAGACTAATGAAAGAGAATGAGAGAAAATCTTTTTATATAAAAGGGCCATCTGGTGAACCTAATCACTCTCATGTTAAATTATATTAAACAACTTAAGCATGCTTTAAAAATAATGATAACATATTGCCTTAAGTTCTATGGTAAATGTCAAAACACCTGTCATGAATGCTGACAGGCAATGTTTATTTTGCTCCACTCTTAGAGAAGTTAAAATACATTACTAGCAAACATGGATAAACAACCAAAGTACAATTATTCATTATGCGGCTACTATGTTCTGTTGGGTCATGTGTGTTCAGAGGTACTGAACTGTGTTGGGGTGGGAGTGAAGGGCAAGCAAAGAGAAAAAAATGACTAAGACAACACATAAAATGCTCTAAGCTGTTGGGAGTACTTCATAATAGTCAATTAAGATTCACTCATTTTTAATTGGTAGATGGATAGAGAGTTTGATAAACAAACAAATAAAAACAATAAGGGATAGATGACTAATGCTCCAATTCAAAATAAAAATACGTGAGCTAAACTAACCTATGAAAACTACAGCAGAAAGAAACTTGGTGGTGCTTTCCTTTGTCTTGTTACACAGCAGAGATGATTGACCATTGAGGACGGTCAGAGTGGCAATTTACCTAAGTAAAATATCCTTGAATCTTCAGTGATTAGAACAAAAATTTGGTGCCTACAGAAAACTGGTGGGATACTAAAACTTCTGACAGAAAACCAAAATAAGATATTTTCAAGTATTAAAAACTTAAAATAGGCCAGGCGCAGTGGCTCCCGCCTGTTATCCCAGCACTTTGGAAGGCCAAGATGGGAGGATTACTTGAGCCCAGGAGTTTGGGACCAGCCTGGGCAACGTGGCAAAACCCTGTCTCTACAAAAACTAAAATAATAATAATAATAATAAATTAGGCATGGTGGCATGCACCTGTAGTCCCAGGTACTCAGGCAGCTGAAGAGGAAGCATCCTTTGAGCCCAGGAAGGTTGAAGCTACAGTGAGCCAGGATTAGGTCACTGCACTCCAGCCTGAGTGACAGAGCAAGACACTGTCTCAAAAAAAAAAAAAGGAAATAGCTCTAAGTAATCGGCTAAATAACAATCTGGGTTGTTTAAAACAGATGTCCACAACTAATAAAATAAAGCCAGGATGAAAGCACGTTAAGAAATTAATTATAACTAAGACGGAACAAATAATAGCAAAAAAATGAGACCTCAAACGGAGCCAGTCTTTAACATTTTACCCTTGCTTTAAACGGAATCTCATTTACTATAACCTATTTTTAATGGACAAATTTGATACAAGTTTTGTTTGAGTAAGCAAAACTTCTGGAAGTATAGCAATAGTGCTTGGGCCTAAGTATCAGTATCTGAAGACAGCTGGATGCCAAATCTTAAAGAAGATTCACTCATATTTTTAATTGGCTAATGGATAGTGACATATGAGAAAACAAAACCGGCATTACTGATGTTCATGTCTATTGCTGGCTCAAATTAAAGCTGATTAAAACTAAAATTAAAATGCACACCTGTAATCCCAGCACTTTGGGAGGCCAAGAAGGACATATCACAAGGTCAGGAGTTTGAGACCAGCCTGACCAACATGGTGAAACCCCATCTCTACTAAAAATACAAAAATTAGTCCGGTGTGGTGGTGTGTGACTGCAATCCCGGCTACTCAGGAAGCTGAAGCAGGACAACCACTTGAACCTGGGAGGTGGAGGTTAAAGTGAGCCAAGATCATGCCACTATGCTCCAGCCTAGGCAACAAAGCAAGACTGCATCTCCCCCCACACCCCCCCCCAAAAAAAAAACCAGACAAAATGTTCTGACAAATATCTAAAGATAAAAATACACTGTTTTACAGGTAGCACAGTAATCAGGCATAAAGTAGAATAAAAGATATCAGGAAAATATAGTATTCAGTTTCATTCAGTCATTGAACAATTATTGAATGAAGCAACTAGTATGAACTAGACATCATCAGTGAAGCACAAGAAAAGACAGGTCATGACCTATAAAAATCATGAGGCACAACAAACGGGCATTATGTCATCATCCTACCCGATTGTAACAGGAAATGTGGCACATTACTAACTAGTAATAACTTAATTGTAATTATAATGACAGATCTTAAAAAGTGAAATTCCTCTGTGTGTGGGTGTGTGTACAGACGTGGAGGTGTATGTGACGGGGAAGAAGACTGAGGTGATACTAACCAAATTTAACCCTATATACAATTATTCAAATAATAAAGCAAAATGCACTCTTCCATTTTCCTACAAGTCCTTCTGAGAAATTATGAAATCCCAGAAAAATATTTAGATATACAATTAACAATTTTTTAAAGTTTCAGTCTCTAATATTTAAGGTTAGCGCAGATTTTTAAATCTCCTTGTTTCTTACTAATATCATATGTTTTAAGAAATCAGTCTTTTAATCAAATTACATATGTACTCCATATATCTTAGAAGCTAAAAAACAGGTAAATACATAGGGCTAAATTCCTTCTGGGAAGGGAAACATGTACATTTCAAAAATTCAAACAAAAATGAGATGACCTGAAATTCAAGCCATCTGGTCATTACATGGATTTTTATGGCACAATTATTTTTAACTAATTTAGTGAAAATATCAGCAATTTCCAAAACAACTACTGAGAAAAGATGAAAGATGAATAAACTTTATCTTTTACTGAAAAAATTAAAATTCCATTTGCCAATTTCAGAATAGGGTAAAAATAAAAGTGAGACATTTTCAATATTTAAAAATAGTACAAAAGTAAACTAAAATTTAAGTCTAAGATTAGACTCTTTTCCCCTTTAAGAATAGTGCACTTTAACACTAAGTTCAGACAACCCTAGAAATAAAGAGCTAAACATTATATATTAAAAAAATACATAAAGTTGTGACATTCTAAAACACATGGCTCCAAATTGTGTTCATTTGTTTTCTTAAAAAACAAAAAAGAAATGAAAATAAATATTTACAAAGAACACATATTAAGCATAATGTATATGATGTATTTTAATCCCCAAAATAAAAAAAGGAAAGATTAGTGTCTAGAAACTGTTAGTTTACGTACTTTAAAAGGAAAGGAAAAAATGTAGTCCTGATAAATGACATTTTCACAATAGTTCTCATCGATCAGTCTTATAATCCATCAAGAAGACAGACAGAAACCACCCTACCATTATTCAGTTGGTTATAGATGTGAAATGTTTTCTGTTTTTTTATACCAGCACAAAACAGTAAGTGACAGGGGGTGGAGTATAGATAATTTATCAAATACTTTCGATTAAACAAAATTTCCTTTTAAAAACACACTAGTAGTATGCTTTACACATATACTATTATCACTACAGAGTAAGAGAACAATGAATTTTCTCTGTTACTGTAGTAGAACAAATATCACCAAATTGATAATAATGTAAAAACCTAGGAAAAATACAATATTTAATAATATATATATGTACATATATATACACATATATATACACACACACACATATATATACATATATGTGTGTGTGTGTGTGTGTGTGTGTGTGTATATATATATATATATATGATTAGACAAGAGTAACATATCAATCTAACTTCCTAAACATTTTGGAAGTAAACGAAAACAATATTTTACATTTACTATTATAAATTACCACAAATTTAATACTAAACTGAAATTAATAACTGCTTTGAGGCTACAGTCTGCTTGGAGACATTAGTGTCTAGTACTTTAATATTAGAATCTTAGTGATATTAGAATCTTAGCTTAACTTTGGTGATATTAGAATCTTAGCTTAACTTTCTTTCTCTTGCCATTACGAAGTTGAAGCCATACCCAAATTTTGCAGCAATGTCATACACTTGTTTTTCATGTTGAAGAACCTTCTCACGGTCCCCCTCAAACAGTAATGTGGCTACACTTAGTTGATTTGGGTCAAATCCTTTAAACTACAAAAAAAAAAAAATTATTATTATTACAGATAAGTCTTATCCTACAAAATAATAAATCAAAACACATTTTGGTCTTTTCCTTCTGATCTGGGCTCAAAGGCACAGATTTCTTAAATATTTAGCTTTGTAACTTTACATGTCAATCATTAAGAATGTTTAATAAACCTATTCAGGTCATTACAATGCAGCAAAACTGTTCAGCATAGGAAAAGCACTTTATTTCAAAGTATGCCACAGTGTTAATTATAATGACATATTACTCATGTAAATACAACAAATATTTTGTTGAAATAATAACTATGATAAAGAATCAAATAAAAAACTGCAGAATGATAGAATAAAGTAGCTGGATATATTGGACAAGAAGAAAAAATCAACAACATCCCTACATACTAATAATAATTTCCTATTAAATAATATTTTCAAAGGAGATCTTTATGCATGAAATTAAAACAGTATCTAACAATCTTAAAAAGAAATATATTAGGAAACATATCTAAAACATATCCAAAAAAAGACGAGTAAGACATATGCTCCTAAAGACATAAACTGAACATTATAAACCACTCAATATTTGCCCAAATTAATGTACTAGTTTATTCCAATTTTAGTAACCACAATGAACTTCCTAAAATGATGAAAAGTTTCTAAAATTTTTCTAGAATAATAAATAAGTGATGGTGATAACAAGGAAAATTCTGAATAACAAGAGGGAAAAATAGACCTACAACAATAAAATCTATTTAATTTTTCAAGAACAAAAAGCTCATTAAAAAAGAATGAGATATACTAAAATGGAGTCTATTTTTTAGAAAAGTGTATATGATGTGAGGCATACCAAATTAATGTATGAGAAGCACAGATTAATTAATGGTGCTGCCACAACTGGTTAACAATTGGAGGAGCAGGAGATGAAGTTTAATTTAGGTCTCTTTCACATAATAAAATTGAAATAAATACAAATAGTAATCAAGATAATTTTTTAAAAATTATCATTTAGTGTAAGAGAGAGAGTGAAGAAAATGGCCCCTATTTCCGGAGGAAAGAAGGCTTTCTAAGCTTAGATTATATTAAATAATCACAAGAAAAGATATAAAAATCTGAAACTTCCATATAAAAAAAGAAAAACCCCTATTAAAAGAGGAGATGCCTGACTGGGAAAAAATTATTTACATTTATGACAAAGGGCATCTAATAATACCAGTCTCAAAGGGATAAACCAAAGCACCAAGAAAAAACATCAAGCTGTCCCCCTGGCAAAAATAACCATATCCAACAAATTCACACAAAGATTAGATCTAGAAAATACAAGAAAGTGTTAACGTCCAGTCTCACTGGAGCTTCAAAAACCATGAACTAAAAGAAAGCACTGTTTTCCCCCTGGTAAATTTAAAACATAACAAAAAGAATCCCACATGCAATATCAAGGATTCAAGGAAAAGAAGGCATACATGCATTGCTAGTAGTAGTGTAAGATGGCTTAACACTCTAGGAAAAAAATTCAACAATCAAAGGTTAAAAAAAATCCACAATCTTATTTCATGTCTGCATAGAAATTTTTTCCTTCCACAAAGGAAAAAATTCAAACTAGAAAATGTTATGAAAATAAAACTGTTCAAATATAGTGTTATTTTTAGAAGCTTCAAAACTGGAAAGAATTAAACTTTTCTGAAATTGGCTGTCTGATTGATTTACTTAATGTTTATTCCAACATAAAAAATTATAATCCTGAAATGTACATAGCAACATGGAAAAACACCCTAATAATAGGTGCATGTGGGAAGAAATCAGAAAACAGGATCTTAAGCATTTAAAAATTTAGCATTTTATAAAAATTCTTACCTTTGTAATATAAAACTTTTTTAATCCATCCAAAAATGATGTAAAAATAGAGGAAACCTGAGGTTTAAGAGCATGACCTAAGAGAAAAAAGTTTATATTAATAGCATATTCTGTGTTTTTTAGAAGATCAAGAGGCTATTCCAACTTAGTATCCTAAAGAAAGTAAAAGTTTTCATGCCTTTAATTTTTTAAATCTCCCCTTGTTATGTACATATATATTTACATTAAGATATATAGTTATATTAATATTTGCTACTTTTATCTTCTTTCAAATGTCACAAACAACTTTTTATTTACAAAACACATTCTCGGTTTGGTTTTTTTAAGTCAAATTACCATGTGTAATTAATACTATACATAGTTTATCTTTCAATGATATGGTTTATACATAATAAAATTACTTCATTAATTTTTATTTCATTAGGAACACCCATGGTGGCTGGTTTTACTTTTATTTTTTTTAATTATACAGAAACTATTCAAAACTATAACCAAATATGGAGCTAATGCCAAGTTTAAGGTTGTTTCTTAATTAATTCTTAATTCATCCAGGATTCTTGGGATAAAACTAGTAATTGCTCCCTTAATCACACCCAGAGAGTTAAAATTGCCAAAATAACATAAATGGAGTCTCAAAGTCTGTTAAATTAACATCTTTGCCTGCGGATTAAGCTTAATTGAGTGAAAACCTTTTACTGTTTTCTCATTGTTTTTAGAAACTAACAACTTCTCAACTCCTATGATTGTTACATTTAAGAGTCACACATCTGGCCTCAGTGTTAGGAGCCCAATTCAGAAAAATGTGTTATACCATTTATATAAATTTTTTATAAAGAATTTCAGTCTTAAGTAAATCTACAATTATCTTCCAAATGAAACGTTTCTTTTTAAAGAAAAAAGCCTTTGAGGTTTGGGGATTTTGTTTGTTTTTAAAGTATAGGCCCTTCCTTTCCTTCGTTTAAAATAGATGCAAAGAGCAAGCTAGCTTTTCTTTTCTTTTCTTTTTTTTTTCAAACTGAACAATCAGTTAAAGTAGATGAAGTGAGCAAACTAACTTTTCTAAAACTATCACTAGTAGTTTTTTTCTATCCATTTTTTATGAGAATCTCAATCTGTAATACTACTTATTACTAGACTTTTGCTGATTATAATAGGAAACTGTGTTACATAAGAACCAACGTAATAGAAGTCTTAACCAGAGGCTGAAAGTTAGATATCTATGCTATACCTGGGGCTTTACAACAAAACCACAAACACACAAATTGAACTACAGGTTAGACAGAAATCAACCTAGCAATCTTTTTGAGCTTCTGGATCACAAGTAAGAGATATGCCTGGGGATTTTTTTTCGTTTATTATAAACTACCAGAGATGCTTCTCTAGTATTATTGCTTTAAGAGACAATTCCTAATATCTATAAAGATAGAAATAACATATCATCAAAACGGTCATTTCTGGTCCCAAATGGAACTCCTATCATTAACAACAAATTAGAAATAAATATATAAACATTTATATATTGAATGTGCATGTTGTGTTCTTGGCAGAAGTTGAAATTATCTATTCTTTATACAAAAGATTCATTTATCTTTATACAATGCATGAGGACTCCATATGATACTACTCTAATATGAAATAATCCTTAAGGGTAAATGTTCACCATAACTCATTGAGATTTATATGCACAATTTCCATTAATGCCAGTAGAATTACTCACATACATCTCTAATACTAAGTTGACATGATAACTTTGAAGAATACATTATTGTAAAAGTGATACTTTTAAGTGGGTCAAGCATTAGTATCAACTAGAGAACATTATCTTTTATTTTTTCTTAAATATGTTGCCTATCAATATAATTACATTTTAAATATATTCTAGCTTTGTGGTTTTTTAAATATTAAATTCATTTCCAAATTTACTAGCTGGACAGTTTGATTAGTAAATTTTCTGTTACAGTATTTCAATGTTAGTCAAGTCATTTAAAAGGATTTATTAATTATGTTTTATATTTTATTTTATTTTATTTTTGAGATGGAGTTTCACTCTGTTGCACAGGCTGGAGTGCAATGGTGCAATCTCAGCTCAAGGAAACCTTCACCTCTTGGGTTCAAACGATTCTCCTGCCTCAGCCTCCTGAGTAACTGGGATTATAGGCATGTGCCACCACACCCAGCTAATTTTGTATTTTTAGTAGAGATGGGGTTTCTCCATGTTGGTTGGGCTGGAATTGAACTCTCAATCTCAGGTGATCTGCCCACGGTGGCCTCCCAAAGTACTGGGATTATAGGCACAGCCAATTATCTATGTTTTAAAGTAGTGGTTACAGACAGTGCAAAAACTCCTGGGCTTTTTAGTCAGATAAATTTGGGTTCATCCCCAGCTCCACCACATACAACTTGTGGACTGTAGTCAAAATAATGAGCCTCTGAGTCATTTGTAAAGTGGGAATACCACTCTGACGAACAGTCATGAAGAGAATTTTATAAAGTGTGCTATTGACAATGTGATCAGCACTATGCTATGAGCTATCCAGGATTTGTTCACCCTCTTGCCAATCTGATGATTAATTCAATCAACATATAAATGTCGATTATGTGATAAGTACAGGTGATAGAAAAATGACTAACAAATGTACCCTAAGTTTGAGAAACTTTAGTTTACAAAGGACATCTTTGGATTATTTCCATATAGTCAATGATATATATCATTTCAATATACTGAAGTTAGATGTCAATATAATGTATTAAGAGTTGTACCTGAGGTAGAGAGGATATTAAAAATATTAACAACTAATAATATGGCCTGCGCTTTGTTAACAACCAATGTGGTATAAACACTGATCAATCAGCCATATGGCTGGTGCAGGGTCTTGGACACCCTTTGCTGTGCTAAGCATTATTTCCTCTGCTGCTTGATCATGAAGCCATGGCAATATACTGATGTAAAGGCTTCAATTAAAACTGAGATATAAAAAAGGTTATATAGACAGCCAAAAAGCACGATCAGATCTGTATTTCAAAAGGATCATGTTGGTGGCTAAGTAAAGTGCAGAGGAAGGGGAGACACAGTCAACACTTAGAGAGGGCAGAAACTATAATACCACAGAGGGGAGCAAGCTAGAGGGGGCAAGTAAGTATGTTTTCAACTATGGTAATGAGAACATGGAAGAGGGATGACAGAAAGGCTTTTTTTAAACCTTCACTTTAAGTTGTTATGGATTCTAATTATAAATAAAATATGGCCAAATCATAATTAATTTTATAAAGTTGCCTATGTCTAACATTGTTTATGACAACAATAACATGTAAATGAGTAACACACTCTTGTTATTAGATGCATGGCTCTCTTTAAGACCTAGATCTCTAAATGTAGGCGAAAACATATGAGGGGTTTGATTTTCACTTCAAGTATTTCATTACTTATAGAATATATTTATCTTAAACTTTTATCAGTAGTATAGTGTTTTGAAAGTAATTCACTTAAAGAAATAAACAATGACTAACTTAGAAGAATGTAATTTTAAAACTCTTGATGTTATGAAACTTAACTTAGTTAAGTTTCTATATAACTATAACCATGCTTCCCTAAATTAAAATCTAAGCTTACTTTTAGACATGACAAACAAAAGCCTGCCTATCTTTGCCTTTAGTATTTATTACTGAGTGATCACTCCCATTATTTTAGGAATTATTTTGAGGGTATTTAAATTCTATAAACTTAAATCCCAAAGTAAATTTCAGAATATAACTACAACCTGTTATCATATCTTTTCCCCCTAACCACCACCCCTTCTTCTATGTTATTTAATCTACCCAATCAATCAAATCAAAGTCCAGGTGTTGTCTTAACTCCTCCTTTTATTTAGCCTTCCATATCCAGTTAGTAAACTGATTTTCTGAAAATCTATCATCTGTTCTCTATCTCCACTGCTGTTCCATGCTCAGAGCCCTCAAACTTTGCTTCTTGAACTGTTTTATCTCCTAGTGTCTCTCCTCCATGTATGTATCCTTCTAATCCATCTGCACAATGCTGCCAGAACTATGACGTAAAGTTGATTGATTTTATTCTTCATACAAAGAAATCCCAGCGCTGACAAGATGAAATCCAAATCTATCCTGCAAAGCCCTAGTCTACTCATCCAACTTTATCTCATATAACAACCCTAACACTACCCTCTATTTCAGCCACATAGAACTATCTGAAGTCCCCTAACACACGCCATTGAATTTCACAACTTCACATTTTTGCTTCCAAGTGATGAAGTCTGGTAGAGGAGAAGAAGAGACATCTAGGCAAACTTGTATTCACCTTTGAAGATTTAGCTCAAGCATCTCTCTTACAAAAGCCTTTTCTGACTCTTTATCCTCAAGCAAAATCAAAAAGAATCAACTCCTTCATTTACAGCCCATGGTATCCATTGCAGTCTTCTTTCAAGGGCCCTCAAACACTGCTGCCATCACTCATTTATGTAATTGTCTATCTTCATTAGACTGACATCGTCCTGAAAGGCAAGATTGACTTTCTACTTCTGCACAGTGTACTCTTACTACTGATGCTTCATAAATTTTTGTGGCTAAATGACATTTTAAAATTACCACTCCTTACTTACCAAACTGAAACTGCTTATTGTCCATGAGGCGAATAGATGCTGGAGCACACCTCTGTTTTAAAAAGAAAAAAAAGTGATACAAATTTAATACAGTAAGAAGCTAGATAGGTAGTATATGAATAGTATATTTCTACATTTAAGAGATCAAGAGTATGAATATTATCTTTCTATATTTAAGAGATCAAGAGCTTAGTTCCTAAGGATTTACAGAGGAAAAAAATATTAACTTTTCATATTTTTTTGTGAAGACAAATATCAATGACTTCTATAAAATATTTAGAGAGAAGAAATCTACAGATATAGATAAATAAATACAAACATAAGTTACCAGATTTTAAATTTATAAACAAAAAAAGCTGCTTACTGCCTGGCAAAGCTGTATGTGAATATCCTAAAAGAAATACCAGGCTCCAAAGTGGATTATTTTAGACCAAAGATGTTTCTGATACTAAAATCCAGTGCCTCAAGTATTGTGCCATTTTATGAACTATGCTGTATTGTATCCACAGTAAAGGTAGAAGATGAAGATCTTCTGACTTTTAGATGAGCACTATTTCAGGTAAACTACAGAGCCTCCAAAAATCACTTAAAACACACACACATGCGTGCATGCACACACACACAGGCACACAGGCATGCATGCACACACACATAGCTTTAAAGTCATATTCCAAACAAAAATTACATTAAAACCATCTTAATTGCTATTTTGTAGTCTTGTTAAATGTATAATAGTTTAAAAATGTTAAAGAAATGTACAACCTGAGTAATTTCAAATATTGACACCAGGATGTCTTTGTAGTTGGGTTGATACTTCTAAAATTGTTACCAGTTTCCAAAAATACTAAAGGAAAATCAGTTTTCTTCACATTTACAAATCTGAAATGTTTTAGTAAAATGGGCACATTGACTTCTAATAAAAAATACAAAGCCTGATTAGACCAAATTTTTTCATAAGAAGAATATACATATAACATACACAATTATTTATTCTGGCGTAAGCACGTAAGAAAAATAAGACAGTAACAGCCACTCTGTCATTCATAACAGAAACATTTTAAGTTCCTACCAACAACTTGTAAATTCCATCTCCTACTATCAACCACATTTTACCGCACCTTTATCAATGGTATTATTAATGAAAACAATGCACATAAGTACACATATATCAGAAAATGGGAAGGGATGGGTGCAGTGGCTCACACCTGCAATCCCAGCACTTGGGGAGGCTGAGGTGGGCAAATCACTTGAGGACAGGAATTCAGCCTGGCCAACATGGTAAAACCTTGTCTTTACTAAAAATATAAAAATTAACTGGGCATGGTGGTATATACCTATAATCTCAGCTACTCAGGGGGCTGAGGTACGAGAATCACTTGAACCTGGGAGGCAGAGGTTGCAGTGAGCTGAGATTGGGCTACTGCACTCCAGCCTAGACAACAGTGTGAGACCCTGTCTCAATTAAAAAATAAAAAAAAATAAAAAAATAAAGGAGGAGGAGGAAAGTATACTACATTTAGAATAGTAAATTTCTACGGGTATTTAATCCCTAAAACAATTAGAATATGCAGGTCTTGATTAAAATCTTGGTTTGTAAACACTATCCATAAAACATATTTTGGAGATAACTGGAGTAATCTTATACAACGAATATTAGATGGCATTAAGAAATTACTGCTGATTGGCCAGGAGTAGTGGCTCATGCCTGTAATTCCCAGCACTTTGGGAGACCAAGGTGGGTGGACTGCCCTAGGTCAGGAGTTCCAGATCAGCCTGGCCAACATGGCGAAACCCCATCTCTACTGAAAAAAAAAAAAAAAAAAAAAAAAAAAAATTAGCCAGATGTGGTGGCACACACCCATAATCCCAGCTACTTGGGAGGCTAAGCAGGGGAATCACTTGAACCCAGGAGGAGGAGGTTGCAGTGAGCCACTGCACTCTAACCTGCTGAGTGACAGAGTGAGACTCCATCTAAAAACAAAAACAAATTACTGCTGATTTTCTTAGACATGATAATAGTATTGTAGTTATAAAGAACACTGTTCTTCTGTCTTTAGGAGATGGTGCTGAAGTATTTAGGTTAAGTATCCTAAAGTCTGCAACCTAGGCTGGGTATGGTGTCTCAGGCCTATAGTCCCAGCACTTTGAGAGGCTGAGGTGGTGGATCACCTGAGGTCAGGAGTTTGAGACCAGCCTGACCAACATGCTGAGACCCCATCTCTACTAAAAATACAGTATCAGCCGGGCGTGGTGGTGGATGCCTGTAATCTCAGGTATTTAGGAGGCTGAGGAAAGAGAATCACTTGAAACTTGGAGGCAGAGGTTGCAGTGAGGATGCAGTGAGCTGAGATCGCACCACTGCACTCCAGCCTGGTCAACAAGAGCGAAACTGTTTCAAGAAAAAAAAAAGTCTGCAACCTAATTTCAAATGGTCCAAACAACATATACACACACATGTTGAACAAGGCAAAAAGTTAATTATTGTTGAATACATGAAGTGGATACACAGGTGATCACTGTACCATTCTTTCAAATTTTCTGTATGCTTAAAAATTTCAAATTAAAAAGCTGAAAAAAAATATAAGAAAGCACCAGGGCCACTGCTGTATCGTATAGCAAATAATATTCAATTACACTGGGTTTAACTTTAGTTAGTTGAGTCACATAAGCTAGCTATCCAGTATTCCTATTAGTATCAAGGAGGCATAGTAAATGGTAACAAACAAACACTATCAAAAAAGAGCTAAGAAGCAGTTAAAGGAAGTTTTTTTCAAAAAAAATTTAGATATTAGTTTTTTAACATGGACTTCTTTGAAATTATCCAATTCAAACCAATAGTTTTAAAGTCTCATATTTCAATAGCACCAGATTTTTTAAAAGTTAGTAGAGTTTTTCAGTTATTGTCATTACTAAATGCTTATGTAAGTAAAGCACTCAAAAATAGCATCCAGATTGGTTTATGGTCTCCTGGCAATTGATATTTGTAAATCATTGTATATCATTCTAAATATACAAAGCTGAAAACCTTTCTTATAATTTGAAATAATTAAAAGTTACCACTATAGTTAATTAAATGGAAGGTTCTATCATCAAAAGATCAAAATGATGTTACTACTCTTTAAAAACAACATTCAATCTGTTACTATACGTAAAGATTAGGTCATATTTCCAGTGCTTTAAAACTAATTTGGTAGATTTTTAAAAAAACACCACAAAAGATTGCCTTTAAAAGTTAGAGACATCACAAGTTCTGAGAATTTGAGCTCTAAATTCACTCCCATGTTATTCACTAATGCCAGGGGCTGAGAGTATTCCACAGATTTTTTTAAAGAAGGAAAAAAGGTCCTTGAGTTAAAGTGACCCCTGCTGGTAGGTGATCAAAACTAACCTGAGAGGGAATATTTTTACCTATTTTAATGATGGGTTAATGATAAATTCAGGTAATTCAAGAACACTCAAACAGAAATTGCTTACTAAAACTGAGTTAATGAAATAATTGATTTCTTTCCTGCTATGATAAATGTGCCCTTACTAGAATCTCTCAAATCATCTAACTTGTACCCAAGTGTATTTTATAATTAATAGTCTGAAACCATATGAAACTTGTTATGGACTAATACAGAAATATCAATATACTTTTTGTACTTGAATAATAAAGAAAGAAATAACCACAATGACCTCACAACATGGATACAAGACTGACTTAGTCAAATTGCTGGCAATTTCTTCACTTTAGAGATGCTACAACCAGGAATTTACTTGATTACATAATCTGAAAAATAAAAACTATTCTGATTAGTCTTATTTACTTAGTACTCTCATCACTAACTTAAAAAGCAACACATTTTTCAATCCTATTGTTTTATTTAAAAAGATTTCCTCTTAGAAACACATCAACATATTTCTGCAAAACTGGTTTTTCTAGAACTAAGTCATAGCTCTTGTCACAGAAAAAGTGAGAACTTGCAATTCAGATGAGACATATTTGAGAAGGTACCTCTTAAAAGACTACTTACTAGCAAAATAAATTCAATATTAACATATATCTCAAATGTCTGAGGGGTTTCTGCTACTGCAATGTCATAAACTATAAAAGTATAAGCACTGAATCACAGCCGTGTAACTCTAGTCCATGGCTAAGGAATGAATTACACTTGATTGAAAACATTTGTTTCCTCAAAGGGTAAATCCAACATTCTGTGTAGACTCTGGAACAGCCCAAATTCTTAAGCCTAGAGATTACATTGGAAATAATCTATTAATCTCATGTTGTATCAGAGCAAATGCTTCACTACTAAACTCCATGTGCTATACAAAAAATTTGGGCACAAAAAATTATCATAATATGCTATCTCCTTAGCAATTACTTAAAGTCAGGAACCACATCTAATTGCATACTACCCATTGCATTATGTTGGTTATCAAGCTAAGAGCACACTACCTCAAATAAAAGGGACACAATAAAATTGATTAATTTAAAAGTTCAAAAATGGCTATGTAAAAAAAGATAATCTGTTAAATGTGAATTTCTGGATATAAAAACTTAAAATGTAGATCAATTCTTCTTCTAACTAGTAAGTCAGAGTTGGTATCACAGATGAAATGATTGACTATTTAAGGCTACAGCTATTACTGGTTGGTCATCTTGGAGAATACATACTGACTTACGGCCAGGAGTCTGTATGATAAACAATAAGAACGTTTTATTTTGACAAGTCAATCGTTGCTTGGTTTTAAAGAATAAGATAATAGATAGTAGGGAATGAATATTTTCCTCTGCTTATATTAAGGAAAAGATCAAAATATAATGCCAGTCTCCTAATTATAACTTTACATTTTTACAGTTTAGTAAAGGTAAAATAACTTGTTCTGAGTAGCTTCTGGTAGAAAACATGTCTCAAAACTGTCCTAACTTTGCTCGATCGAACAGTAAATGATCCAATTAACCAAACATTTGACTAGAGTTATTCTCTCTGCTTCAGAGAAAAAAAAGCATGACACAAAAAATGATTTAAAATAATTTCAGTTTCTCTGTGTACTAAATACTCCCAAGAATTACTATTGAATAAAATGAAGTTTTAAATGTTTTATAAGTACTAAGCCTGACTCCTTCCAATTTATTTGAATTCCTCCAAGATAAATTAAGTTTTAAACAGAACAATTCATAAAATTTATTTCTTCCCAAATTATAATCTAAAATCACTAAAACAAGCAAAAGCCCCCAAACTTTTATCAGTTTAAAATTATTTAAAATAAAAGTGATGGAAGGCAGGAAAAATTACCCTTTGACAAAGGTAGTGAGAAGAAAAGCTGCATTTTCATCTCTAATTCTAAAAACCTAGTTCTAAGAAACTAGGTTTTACTGAGAGGAGTTTGGAGAGGAATGAGTGCTAATCCATACCAAATACAGTTTTTCCTGTTGTTGGAACACAAAACTCCTAAGTTTTTATTGAAAACAACAACAACAAAAAAGCCCCAAACTTCAGAAATTGCTTCTGAGTTTGTTTCGACACTCAGTTTTCCTTTTAACCTTGTGAAGACATCATTGTTATTTCCAAACTAATAATTTTATTTATCTCTTCCAGATAATAATAAAATCAGTTTCAAGTAAGACAAACTCCTAGTCCACAATATTTATATCTCTAAAAATTGTCAGTTACTAAGTACATAGAACCAAATTGCCATAGCTATTAGAACCTTTATTTTTGACCTGCTTTTTTTAACCACATGGTAGCACTGTCTATCAATCATTACTTTTATTTTATTCCAAGATATATAGCTCATACAATTTTTTGTTGTTGTTGTTGTTGTTTGAGATGGGATCTCGCTCTGCTGCCCAGGCTGAAGTACAGTAGTATGATCATGGCTCACAGTGGCCTCGACCTCAATGGATCCTGTCATCTCAGCCTCCCAAGTAGCTGGTACTACAGGCACATGCCACCAGGCCCAGCTAATTTTTGTATTTTTTGTAGAGACAGGGTTTCACCATGTTCGCCAGAATGGTCTTAAACTCCTGGGCTCAAGTGATCTGCCCGCCTCAGCCTCTCAGTGCTGGGATTACAGATGTAAGCCACTGCACCTGGCTCACTATAGTTTTGTGTAGTGAATTTGGATTATAGTCATTAGGTGAACAACCCAAGAATTTTTTTAAGTGAACAACCCAAGAATTTTTTTTAAGTGAATAAAAGAACAAGTTTTACTAATTTGTGCAAGGATGAAGGAAAATTCCACACCGGCTTTTCAATAGCACAAGTAGCTCTTCTGTGTCACTTTCTATCAGGGGCATATCAAATTATAATAAAAACTGTATCAGATTGCACCTACTATTTATGTTGGAATGAAATTATAAACTTAGTGTTTTGATACATTTGTACATCACTTCTTAATGAAATCTAAGATAGATTTACATGTATTTGCAATGTGCAAAGGTAGATGGGGCATCAATAAAACATAAAATATGTACACTTCTAATTCTAAGATTTATGAGTCTACTAAATCTGTGTTCTGTAGAGGGGAGATATTATTGAAGGGGCACAGATGGTCAATACAAACTGAACATGACCTCTTCAAGATCTTTTGTTGCAAATAAATACAAATCCAAACTACTCTTTTACTTCTGTAATTTTTTAAAAATCTAATTTGAGGCTGGCCATGGTGGTTCATGCCTGCAATCTCAACACTTTAGGCCTAAATAGAAAGATTGTGGTGGTGGTTGCCTGTAATCCCAGCTCAGGAGGCTGAGGCAAAAGAATTGCTTGAACTCGAAAGTTGGCGGTTACAGTCAGCCGAGATTGCACCACTGCACTCCAGCCTGGGTGACAGAGCAGGACTCCATATCAAACAAACAAACAAACAACAACAACAACAACAAAGTTTTTTGTCGGGGGAATGGTGAAGCTCAACAAAGATAGAAGGAAATAAAAGTATTTAATACAAACAGGAGATGGAATTTTCCTTCATCCTACCCAAATCAGTAAAACTTGTCCTTTTATTCATGTTTAAAAATTCTTAGTATATTCACCCAATGACTGTAATCTAAAATCACTACACAATGATAAATTATAATACAAAGCAAAAACACTTAAAATTTTAAAAGCTGTTCATTAAGAAAAATCTGAAATTAACGAGAAAATATATATGGAAACATCATTGTGTTATTTTTTAATTAGTGAATTTCTGGTCATTAAAAAAAAACCACCCTAGTTTCCTGTTCTTCTATGTATTAATTCGTAGGCAAAACCATAAGGCTCTGCAAGCTCTTTTACTTCTTAATATCTGGGGTATCTTAATTTGAAACTCCTTTCCTCTGCCTTTGAATGATGGAAAGTTTTACAAACAAGTACCAGAAAACACTGAAATGTCACCACTCAGTGCTCAGGTGGTATTTTAGTATAACAAATACTATTTACTCCAAAAACTTATCTCCAATCCTCCTCTACTTAATAATGTTTTAAATATTACTGCCATTTCATCATTTTAGCAAACGTGGTGTTAATACTATATACTTTAGCTCCCTAATCATAACATCATACCCCCAAAGTTCTAGTGAATTAGGTCTTCTAATGTAAGGGTTTCAACTGTTAATAGTCACTTCTGCCTTATGCTACCAAAGTAATTTGCCACAAGTCCAAGAATGCTTATTCCAGAACCCTATTTCCTTTTGAATCCTCTCCCTATGCAGGGGTAGTCTGACAATGTAGGTCCTAGCAAAAAACCTAAAGCTACTTGAAAATTACAAAAATTATCCTATCAACTGGTGAATTAGGTGATCATATATCTAGACTTAATGAAAGTGGGAAACTGTCAGACAGAATGAGTGTCTCAGAAAGTAAACACTTTAAGAAAGTAAAACTGAGTGTATGGAATAAACAGCTCTGGAAATGATATATATGTGGGTAAGTACTGTATATATTTTTTCTCATTTTAAATTTATTTAAAACATAAATAGTGGTTGTCTGGGATGATGGAAAAATGAGAGGCTCTTCATCAGCTTCCATTTCTATACTTTACAAATTCCAAGATAAATATGGACTACTTTCTCAATATTATTCCTTTTCCTCCACAGATTCTTCCTCCACTCTGCTCTGGATACCAGGAAGCTGACCTATATGGGTCACATCAAAAAGCTCCCTTGGCTTCAAGATTCTACTTGGGTATTGCTGATAGGAAGGATTAAAATTTCAGGAGTTTGGAGAAAGAAAAAAAAAAAAGAGAGGCTACAGTACATTCCCTTGACTTCTTCCCTGCTGGGAAATGCTGAATTAAAAATTATTCATAAACGGTTGTAATTTAAACAATAAACCAAATGCCTAAAGAGATATAGACATTTCCATACTGACAGAACTATATACATACTTAAAATTACTTAGCATTATCTAGTCTTTTAAAAAAAAAAACCTTAATAATGTATTTTTTAAGGAGAAGAGAAAATAAAAATTCCTTTTAGCTTATTATATATTTTATGTAATTTAAACTATAGCTTATTAATATTATAAAACAAAGTATAGCCTAGTAGCAGCACATTCTATAAACTGATGAAGCTGGATTACCTATAGTCAATATCTAAATTTTGGGGTCTTTGATATTTAGCCGTTATTTTAATTTCAATAAATTTCTCAATTTTAGATAAATTAAATATCACTTCAATTAATCACAAAATATCTTACCCAAAAATAACTTAAGACACATAATAGTCAATAAAAGGCAAAGTCATTTGAAGTCATCAAAGTACATATCTTACCTTGGCTTACAGTCATATAGCCATCTAGACCAAGAAATAGGTGTGATAGCAATATACTTACTAAAAGAAATAGTAACTGCACTTAAAGGGATGACTGTGAAACACTACCTTTTCATATAAAACTAGATAAAAACCACAAATATAATACAACTAAATATGAAGATCAATTGTAATATATCACAATCAACTATGCAGTAGAATTTGAAAAATATAAATACACACACACACACACACACACACACACACACACACATATTTTTTTTTTTTTACCTGTTTTGCAATTTCTCTTAAACAGGCCACTCCTTGTTCAAAATTAGGGAAAGCTACCGAGCCATACTTTTGGTATTCAGGAACTGGTCTGATTTTTATTGTAGCTTCTGTTATTACACCAAGAGTTCCTGAAAAAGAAGTGGTAATAATTTAGTATATCATATGATAATTTTCTAAATAATATTTAAATTTATTTAATCTATTAATTTATTATGCATATTTAAATTTATCACGTCTACCTGGGGAATAACGACTACTCAAGTCATTTTAGAAAAAATTATAAAATTAAGAAAATTTTATAATTTCCTAAAAAACCTTTAGGAATATGCTTTACTTCGTTATGTACAAATATTTTTAAATATTTTAAAGAAAACTTTCTCCAAGAAGGTTACTTCTAAATAGTTTTTAAAGCATTAAAATAAAAAAATTGAAAAATAATGGGGTTTTGTGTCTTATATGTACTTAGACAAAAGTATATTTTGATATTTGTGCTTTTTTTAGTCTGAAAATTTTTTGAGCAAAAAGAACCTAACCTTCAATGAGAATCTAAGATGATAGAAGAAATCTGAGTAAATATTATCTTGCTTTTCTTCCTAAGAATTAATACAAAGAAAAGACAAAGGCATTACTGAGATGCCCTTTTAAGAAGCAAAAAATACCCGATGGAGACAAAGTAGTTATTATACCTATCTATCATAAGATGACCACCAATAAAAGAAATGCTCTTTAAAAAGAAAAAATTTAAAAACACAAATACAAATTAAAAAATGAAAAAAAAAAGACTAAATAAAAGAAATGCTCTTTTCTTTATTATAAAAGGGACTAATTACAGAGGAAATAATAAGTTAAACCATTATATTCACAAAGCCAAGCTTTTCAAATCAGTGGTTTCTGATATACAAATGTTAGAAATTAACAATGTTATTAGTAAATTTTCTGAGCATCATTTTAAAAATAGAGTAAAGAAAGGGAGAAATCTTTGAAACTGTAGACCTTCATAACACAAGTAATTAAAAAGTTTCACAAAAACCCAAGCTTCCAATAAGTTTATAATATAATTAACACAACTTGTCAATATATAACACAGGATTAAAAACCATGACAAGTCTATGAAAAGCAAATTACATTAGATCACAATATATTCACCACATATGTATATGATTTCCTACTGAGATTATAAAATAACTTATAACTTGTATGATCACAAAAGCTCTGCAAGTTTGGTCTGATAAATATTTTAATACAAAATAGATATGCCTTATAAAATTTAAAAGATAAAAGTGACTAAACATTCTCTTTTGTTTTAGCATCTTTACTGAGACATAATTTACAGAAAACAAAATTCACCCATTTAAAGTGCAAAATACAATGTTTTGTGTATATCCACAGATATGTGCAACTGTCATTACAATCTAAGTTTAGAACATTTTCATCATCCCAAAAACAAACCTATTTCCACTACACAATCCCTCTCCATTTCCACTCCCACATCCTAGTCACAGGCAACCACAAATCTATTTTGTGTCTATACAGACTTGCCTATTCTGAACATTTCATATAAAAGGAATCTCATAATATCTGGCCTTGTGACTGGCTTCTTTCACTTACCAAAATGTTTTCAAGGTCCATCCATGCTATAGCATGTATTAATATTTCATTCCTTTTTAATTCCCAAATATTATTGCAGTGTATAGTATAACTCATTTTGTTTATTTCCTCATCAGCTGATAACATATGAGATTCCACTTTTTCGCTACTATTAATAATGCTGCAATGAACATATATGTACAAGTTTTTATGTAGACACATGTTTTCCTTTATCTTGAATATATATCTAAAGACTTTCTTAATTTCAAAAAAAATTTTGATCCTATTCCATGTAATAGCCTGACCCCAGCTACCTTTTCCCAAGGCTAAGTTCCAGGTGACTGCAGCTGGGAAGTAGGGCTCACTTGTAGCTCTGGGCCCCAACTGGTGGAACAAAAACTCTACTTTGAGTGTAGCACACTAAAACTGGGATCCCAGTCCCCTTGTCCTGGCTCATAAAGGGCTGGTTTCTTGCCAGGAGAAGCAAACCTAGATAACCTAATTTCCTCCCCTACTTTTCTCCCAGCACTCAGCTCCTAAAGCAGAGGTGTTACTCAGATAGAAACATGCCATTGCCCCACCCCTAACTATTGAGCCATGGTTCAGAGAGTCTCTGGGGAGTGAAACAGGTGATAAGACAGCTCCTAATCTCTTTGCAAAGGAAATGATTTTATTTGCAACAGAGCATGGAGAAGTCCAAGGACCTTCTCAAAAACAGTGAATGATGTAGTAAAAAGGCAATTGGGAAGACACAGACAGATTCACTAGAGATATGGCCTAAAATGTGGGCCATATAGTTTACCCGGAGACAATGGGGAGGACCCCTCTTGTGATCCAAAAAAAATTCCAAACACTAACCTCCAGAACTATCCCTCCTTAACTGTCTAAATTTGATTGGATTATTCTGTAGAGCAATTTATACCCCAGAGCATTGTTGACAACAATAGCACAATTGGCCTGTAATCAGTGGCCCTTAACAGGTAGGTGTGGTTAGGGAAAGACAGAATCAAAGGAAGCCCAGCCAAAACCACTATCACATGTCATACCAAGGGATTGTAGGAATAACTACAGCCACACCCCCAAAGGAGGTCAACACTGCAAAGGGGGTGGGTGGGAGGGAATAGACCTCATTAAAGTAATACAGCCAGTCACTAAACAAATAGCAAATAATAATAAAAAGCTGGGCAGGGGGCGGGGGATGAGGGAAGTAGTATACAGAGTTGCTACAAGAAATTTTCTAAAGGATTCACTTTCCAACAACAAAAAAATTCTGATATGCACACACACACCACATATACAAACAGGAAAGTATGACCTCTATACTGGGGTATGGGGAAGTAGGAGGGGAAGAAACATAAACTGCCTTTCATAGTGACCAGATGTCAGATTTACCAAACAAAAATTTAAAAGTAGCCATTATAAATGTGTTCAAATGACTAACGAAACTATACTTTAAAAGGTAAGGGAAGATATGATGACAATGTCACATTGTTGAAGATTATAAATGAAGATAAACTATTAAGAAAAATCAAATGGAAATTCTGGAGTTCAAAAGTAAAATAATTGAAATGAAAAACTGACTAGATGGCATCTGAGAAAAGAATGTATATCAAACTTGAAGATGGATAGAAATTACACAATATGAAGGACAGAGAGAACAATGGATGGTGCCTCAGAGAAATGCGGGAAACCATTAAGCACACCACTTTATGTGTAATGGGAGTACTAGAAGAAAAGTAGAGAAAGGAGCAGAAAAAAACTATTCAAAGAAAGAATGGCTGAAAACTTCCTAAATTTATTGAAAACCACTAACCTATACAACAAGGGAGCTCAACAAATTTCAAATAGGAGCAACACAAAGATATCCACAAACTGACACATCATAGTGGGAATGCTAAAAGTTAAAGACAAGAGAAAATCTAGAAAAACACCAAGAGAAAAATGACTCATCAATCACAAAAGAAAACTTATAAAGTTAACAGCTGACTTATTAGCAGAAACAACAGAAGTCAGGCAGTGGTGCGATAATACATTCAAAATGCTGAAAGGAGAAAAAAACTTGTCAACCTGGAATCCTATGTCCAGCAGTCATCTTTCAAAAATAAAGACATTCCCAGATAAACAAAAGCTAAGGGACTTCACTGCCAGAAAACTATGCTTACTATAAACACTAAAGGAAGTTCTTCAAACCAAAGCAGGTGATCCCAAACAGTAACTCAAAATAACATATACAAAAAAGAGCACTTTTGAGTCTTCTCCATTTTATGTAATTTAAAAAGATAGTATTAATGCATATTTCTTCTCCTTGCTTCTCACGTCTGATTTAAAAAGCAATGATATAAAACAATATATATATGATGTATTTTTGGAACTATAACATATACAAGTGTGATATATGTAACCAATAGTAGCACAAAAGTGATGAAAGTAAAGCTCTACTGGGCTAAGAATATGATTCCAGATGGTAATGTAAATCCACAGGAAGAAATGAAGAGAACCAGAAAGGATAAACAAGATGGTTAATATAAAAAAAGTTCTATGTCTAGAAATATTGAGTATCCCTTACCTGAAATGCTTAGGACTAGACGTATTTTCAAGTGGAGATTTTTTGAATTTTTGAATATATGCATTGTACTTAACAGTTGAGCAGCCCAAATCCAAAACTCCAAAATCCAAAATGCTCCAGTGAGCATCTCCTTTGCTTATCAAGTCAGTGCTCAAAAGTTTCAAATTTTGGAGCATTTTAGATTTTGGATTTTCATGTTTGGATGCTCAACCTTACTTGCTCTCCTTTCTTTTTTCAGCTTCTTTGAAAGCCAATTATATACAGTAGTAACATAATACAGCAATGTATTGTTGGGTTTGTAACTTTTATAGAGGTTACTAAGGAGGTAACTCAAAAAGTATACTGAAAAAAATTCATTAAGGAAATTAAAATGCTACATTAGAAAATATTCACTTAAAGCAAAAGAAAGCAATAATTACAAACTACAAAAAGACATGAGACCCACAGAGAGGGAAAAAATGGCAGACATAAATCTGGCCATAGCAATAATAACTTTAAATGTGAATGGACTAAACAACCAAAAGAAAAGACAGAGATAGTGAGACTTTTTTTAAAAAAAGATGCAACTATTTATTATCTACAGAATCTACATTTTAAATTCAGAGATATGACTAGATCAAAAGAAAAATATATATAATGGAAACAGCAACCACAAGAAAGCTGGAGTGGCTGTATACTAATATCAGACAAAACAGACTGAAACAAAACATTACTGGCCATAAGAGGGACATTTTATAATGATAAGCCATCAGAAAGACAAAACAACAAATATAAACAGAATGTACCTAATAACAAGGCACAAAACTATATGAAGCAAAAACTGACAGAAATGAAGGGAGAAATAGATAATTCAATAACAGCTGGAGACTTTAATGCCCTACTTTCAATAAGGGACACAACAACTAGGCATAAGACCAAGAAGGAAATAGAGGAGTTGTGCACTACAAACCCATTAGACCTAACAGGCTAGAACAC